TGCCCTTACACTTATCTTTCGTAATGTTTGTAAAACTCAATACCTTTGGAGCTGAAAATTTAAAAATAAAAAAAAAAANTCTAATTTTCTGAGAGTATAGTAATTTCCACTTTTGTCGTCTTTCAGTGATATATGAGGCAGCACCTTTAATTAGTCGAGTTAAGAGAAACCAAACACGCAATTTGGCCTGGAACGGCGCGACTTACCTAGAGAGAAATGATGACGAGGACTTGAAATGAAAAGGAGAAGGAATCGGCGCGGCGATCGGCATGTACCTAACACATATTAGCGCCTACAAGACTGCACGAATACTTCGCGCATTGCATCAAACACAGTGCGGTCATTGCGGATAGCGTGAAACGGATAGCGCCTACAAGAATGAATGAAAACCTCACGCATTGCGGCAAACACAGTGCGATCAGCGTGAGACGCATATCGCCTACAAGACTGCGTGAATACTTCACGCATTGCGTCAAACACAGTGCGGCCTGCGAGGCCCAGCGGCGGAAGTTAAAATCATTAATCCACATTTATGTTTGTTATTTCATAATTTTTTCTTTCATTTCTTATGAATGGAAGGCCTTGTCCACACAGAGATAGATTTACGAAACTTAACTTTCGCGCAAAGTTCCGTGAACTTTTGCTAGTAATGTCGCTAGGGGTTTCCCAAAAAATGAGTTCAACACCAGTAAACGCGTCTCATGCACCCCTCCCCCGCTGGCACGTTCATTTAAATCAGTCATCCCATTTATCTCACGATCCGAGTTTCATACGACACAAGAATCCAGGTATGGAAATTTGGCAATTTGAAAACGACTTCAATTGTGGTGTGATACCTCACGCATTCCGGATAGTACGCATAGTTGTATCACTGCGCCTTAGCAATGCGATTGAAGATTGATATTGAATCTGCCTCCACGCTAGCCTTCTTGGTCTCAATTTGCCGTTTTTGCAGTTTTGATTGCAGAGTTTAAGAGTCATCAAGTTAGGATTGGACTGAACCAATACTTATTTTTTATAGAAGTATAAAAATAAAAAAGCGTTAAAAAATACAACTGAATGAAAGCAACTCAAATCATCAATTAAGTGCAAGAAAGTACAGTAGAAAATGTGCATAAAAAGCTTAAATAGAACGGGAAAACACCTGAGAATATTACACAAGCATAATCAACTGGTGCAAAATCCATAAACAAAAAATTAAAATAAGGAGATGTGCTCAAAACTGTTGCACTGGCTCGTTACATCAGTCATCCCATTTATCTCACGATCCGAGTTTCATACGACACAAGAATCCAGGTATGGAAATTTGGCAGTTTTGAAAACGCCTTCAATTGTGGTGTGATACCTCACGCATTCCGGAGAGTACGTATAGTTGTATCACTGCGCCTTAGCGATGCGATTGAAGATTGATATTGAATCTGCCTCCACGCTAGCCTTCTTGGTCTTAATTTGCCGTTTTTGCAGTTTTGATTGCAGAGTTTAAGAGTGATCAAGTTAGGATTGGATTGAACCAATACATATTTTTTATAGAAGAATAAGAAAAAAAAACCGTTAAAAAATACAACTGAATAAAAGGAACTCAAATCATCAATTAAGTGCAAGAAATTACAGTAGAAAATGTGCATAAAAAGCTTGAATAGAATGGGAGAACACCTGAGAATATTACACAAGCATAATCAACTGGTGCAAAATCTATAAACAAAAAATTAAAATAAGGAGATTTGCTCAAAACTGTTGCACCGGCTCGTTAATGGTTTTCATTGATGTTTCAAAATGAATGAGAAGGGTGCGGCAAAATACTAGCGGCCCATGGGCGGCAAGTAGGTAAATCCGGCCCTGCTTTCAGCGCAATTTTTTGGCAAGATATGAACCGAAAACCATTTTATTTGTAAAAAAAAAAAAACAGCAGCATTGAGAATTCACTGTTCTCCCCGGCAGGCGCGGCAGGACACCGTGGAGATTCGAACGAACTTGCGATAACTGCTCGCGCACCGGCCATGGGCTGCAGCTGACACACAAATGATTTGTATCAAGACCGTATGGCCAGAATTGATGAGTTTTTAACTGATTTAATAATTTGTCCCTTATTTTTGTTGTAGAAGTTACAGACGGTTTAGTTTTTTGTTCAATTTTATTAAAGAATTAGCATTGATATACTTTTGGTTCATTTCAATCGTTTCACCAGCCTTACCCTCCCTTAAGACTTTGTTTCATGCATAAAAAAATGTTTTCAGTAAAAATAGCGGATGTCACATTTTTTCAAATCGCTGTTACTTCTTAAAATTTTCACTTACATAGATTGTAAATTATATGTTCTTTACAGGAAGAATTGCTCTTTATGAACATCTGTATAAAAATCCTCTCGGTTCTACGGGCGGCAAAGTGCAAAGCTTCGAAAACTTCAAATGCAATTTTCTCACAATGTGAAAACTCGACATCTACTATTGTTACATATAAGTCCTAATATGTATCACAGGGCTCATGTCATAATGTACTCAGTTCCATTTGGTAGAAATATGCCCAATTTGACTCCGTTTGGGCATCTAAGGTAAAGGGGAAAATCTATCAACAGCTGACCGTCAAAGTATTCTTGGCTCATTCTTCATCTAATGATGGCTAATTATTGTCATGGGAACGGAGTTCCCCATGATATTACAATCGTTCCGTTGCTTTCGCTATGGGATTCCCTATACCTCTGCGACCTTGAGCGTTTCGCCCAGTCTCCGATTTTTGGTTGATTTTCCGATGTATCAAAAACCGTTGTATTTTTTAGCCAATCATGTCTCTACGTCAAGTTGTGTTGATTTCTAAAATTCGCTTTCAGCGAGTTTTTTTCCACCTGGAGATGTCGTGTCTGACTGGTAAATCTGCGCAGAACCACGAAGTTCCGTTTTTAGGCAAATTCTTTTTTTTGGGAGGTTTTCATTGGCTATTTTTCGCCATCAGTTTTCTGTTCGTTGGTGCAAAAGATCGCCTACCTCGTTGCTCTTAAGAAGCCGCCATTATCCCACCTCAAATTTTAAACATAGATATAAAGAAATAATAACCATCGTACAAGGCGGAAAATTGTTCTGGAGGACCCGTTACGGATATATGAGCCAAAATCAGAACTCGATTGATGGATTTAATCCATGAATACAGAAATATTGCCCCAGTTTACTGCCGCGATCGCAAATGCATTCTGACATGAACCTTGTGACACATGACAGCATAGGTAAACAATGTCTCACAGAGTAATGGGCTTGATCCGTTTTCTCTTACCACGCCAGTGGCCGAACCGTTGAAATCTCAAGGACGTCTTTTGTGAAGCCCCGCTCAGCGTTCGAGATCACTTAACTGTTCTCTTTTTCTCCTCCCATTTCCGAGCGGCGAGATGGCTCAGATAACTACAACACCGTTCTGACCCTGGGAGAGTGTCACTTTTTGTGGGAGCGGGGGTTCGAATCTCGTAGGGGACAGCTAATTTTTACTGGTTGTATTGAATGTTTTAGACCAATAATCTAACAATAATTAATACTTGGCAACTTAGGAAGCACATAGGTCCCTTATGATGCGTATTCGGGCATATGTGTAGAGTAAAAATATTATACGTAGGGTGTCCCAAAAGTACCGGGACTGGTTCTGTAACTTCAAAAGTAAGATAGATGCAGACATGATTTTGGTCTCATTTTAAAGATCAACTCAATACCTATCGATTAAAATCAAGATCAGCTCAATCGAATAAAAATTGACCGAGTTATGACAATTTGAAATTAGTGAGGAAAGTTTACCCTTACGGTTTTTAGGAAGATTTTTCGCTTACCAGGATTCAAAAAGTTAATATTCGTATCCACTTTCCTTCGAATCTTCCATAATTTCCTTTTGCTTTTCAAAGTACCGTCCATCAAACCGGATGCACTTTTTCATGCGCTCTTGCCACTTATCCAACATTGTTTTCCTGAATTCTTCCTCTGGGATGGAGTTGAAGAAGTTTTGAATTGCATTCTGGATTTCGGTCTTCGATACGAATCTTCGTCCGCGAAGCTCCTTTTTAAGCGTGGGAAACATCCAAAAATCACATGGAGCCAAGTCAGCGCTATTAGGGGGATGAGGGATTGTTTCAACTCCATTTTTACTCATAAATTCACGTGTTAAGCTCGATGTGTGAGGCCGCGCATTGTCTTGATGGAGTATCCACGAAGCTTTCGAGTCCGACCGTTTCCGGGAAATGTGCATTCTCAACTCCTTCGGTACTTTGCAATAATACGCACTGTCAACTGTTGTGTTTGATGGTACAAAATGTTGATAAATGACACCTCGAAAATAAAAAAACACAATAAGCATCACTTTATCGGCCGACTTTTCGATTTACGGCGATGAAGAATCTTCCTTAAAAACCGTAGGCGTAAACTTTCCTCGCTGATTTCAAATTGCCATAACTCGGTCAATTTTTATCCGATTGAGCTGATCTTGGTTTTAATCGATAGGTATTGAGTTGATCTTTAAAATGAAATCAAGATCATGTCTGTATCTATCTTACTTTCGAAGTTACAGAACAAGTCCCGGTGCTTTTGGGACACCTTACGTATACTTTACGCCGAAAAAGCGAACCTGAAACTTAAATGCGTTAACTTCCGAAAACCATATATAATTCAACGAAAATAAATAATTGGTACATAACAGCTTTCTTGTATGCAAAGAAAATAATTAAAAATGTTAAAAAAGAGATGTCAACACAAAATTACATAGCCCCTTCAATTCAGAAGATACTACAAACGAACTGTACCTTAACATTTTCATATCCCAGAAGCTAACGTTCCCATGACGAATATTGCTATCGCTAGCGATTGCAAAATCCAACTTGTTTTCTACTTGATTCAATCTAGTTGTAATGGCATACTCCATTTCACTTTTTTAATATTTTTTTCTTTTTTTAGTTATTATTGTATTTTATACATTTATTTTAATATCATACAAGGTCCAAATATTTTGGTAGATGACAAAAATAAAGAAAATCCAACTTAAGAAACCAAATAAAACAGTTTATTTAAAGAAAAAATCATCACAAAATGCAGACATTTGCATCTGCTGTGTATGAACAATTTGGTAACAATATCAACAAGGCAGGTAGCGTAGAATTTCATGAAAGTCTTTGAGTTTTCACCAAGCATCATGAAAGCAGGAAATTATGAACTTTGGAATTTTTCAGCTTAGCAAATGTGCCACTTCCTGCTACAGATATTGCAGTAATTGTGCGGGTCATCTACAGAGTTGGCACACTAATTTATTTTACTTGAAAACTACATATTACTTAATGCCAGGAAAAATCTGAGTTAAAGACTAAGGTTCTAGTCTCCGTTCTAAACAGCTGTTTCCAAGGAGGAAAATAATATTTTGCCTAAAACTCAATGTGACAATAATGACAAATTTTCGTTCAAGCTTACCTACATTTTTTGTTTCTGAGACTTTCAAGATATTATATGCAAATAATTCATCTAAAATTAAAGGCAACTGAGAGGAGGAATAATTCAAAATTTTTGAAAAACTGTCCTTTCAAGTTTCAACTTCTGCTAAGTTGATGCTCATATGCAATGTTCGTTACAAACACTTTGTAAACACTGTAGCAACTTGTTCGATCAACTTTACACAACAAACCGATGGGCCTATCTATTTTGGTCATTCTCCCAAATTCAAAACAATACTGACACTTAAGTTAAAATGAAGGTCTTTTTCGTTATTTTACAGGACCAAATTACTCCATAGATGGAAACATAAATAGCTAATGGTCCAACGCAATGAAATTTAGGGGAGAGAGAATAAGACAAAAAAGTTTTCTACGTGACATTCTTTGAAAAAATATTTCCTAATTTTTAATGCACTGCATTTGAGTCTGGGAGAGATCAGAAAAAAACTTTGAGAAAGTCTGATTGTAAATAATGAACTTTTCTAAAGCATAAACTAATTGCGCTCAGGCTTTTATACACTCTTAGAGGTTGCTTTAAAGTTTTCTTGCATATTAAAAGAAATGAGAAAATCGAATGGTCGTTGGAAAACGGTTTTTCTTAGGTTTATTCTGGTTTGAAGTGCCTTGACTTCAAAACTCTGGCACAGAGAGTATTTTTAACAATGGTTTTATTGCAAGTTAAAGGATTTTTGACTGAGGAATCTCAACATACTGCATACAAGCTTTTGAGGCTGATGAACCTTCTGAGGCTTGAATTTTTCTGAAGGAATCAGTGATGTAAAAATAATACAAAATTTGGACACTAAGCTCTAAAGGCTCCTGATTCATGGTCTTACACTTTGTTTGCTAAAAACAAACAGCAATTATGCAACAACATTAAGATTCTACACTCTTCGTGCTCTGAGAAAGCTTGAAAAAAATTTGAGCAGTGACAGCTGATGACAAGTTAAGCGCTATTCCTTTGTCTTGCATGAGCGTGATACTTTTCCATACAGAGACAGTGAAAACAATGCAATAGCTAGAGATGAGACAGGATAAAAAAAAAAAATAATAAATAAAAAAAACAAACACACACAATAAAGATGGGTACCCAGGTAAACCTCGAATTGTGATCCATAGGCTTTAGCATTTGTTCATTTATATATTTATTTTGATTTTCTTAGGTTGAAAACGGGATTGTTGGGACTTCGATGCACCTGGCCTTTTCAGCTTCTGAATTTTTATGCCTTGATTAGCAATTTAGTACCTATGTGTTCTTGATCCTTTCGTAAGTATCATCAGTATTTAATGTTTGTCCATCGAGACAGTTATTTTTCAGCCTTAAAACATATCAACATTTTCATGATTCTGACCTTCTGCATGACTTGATTGCTAGCTACTTCTTCACACAGACTCATAAAAGTAATTGAATTTGTTGGATCAAAATATCAACTTTGAGAGAGAGAGGAAAAGGAGGATTTAAAAACAAACAAAAACTTATCCATGAAATTTACCACAAGGAAGACAGTTAAAATATCCAATTACGATTGCCAGACAATTTTTTCAATCCATGGAATATAAGCTGAGACACGAGTGTAGACGCCTGGAGATCCAGCAGTTCCACATATTCGTCCAAAAGAGACTACTCCAACCTGGCTGTACATACAGTCGCCTAACGAGATCTGGAGAGGACCTCCTGAATCACCCTGCAAGAAAGATTGCAAATACTCAATTGAGAATTCATCTTACATCCAAGCTATTTTGAAATATTTTGAAAAACAGACAGGATTTCAACTGCAAGGAAAGATCACAATAGCTCCGTCCCTGATTTTAAGGAACTTGAACCTGATTGAAAGGCTCATACAATAAGACTAAAATTTATATTGTTTTGTTCTTTCAGCATTATTACTGCTGAATCCATAGATATTCCCCATAAGTCCTCCCGAAAAGTCCAGTATCTTTGACGGGGACAACTGTATGTCGCATACTTATGATGTCTCAATACTGGAGCAATCCTTCATGAGCCATTAGTGGAGCAGTGGTTATTAAAATGGTGTTCAATTTTGGCCCCAATTGACACGTAACACAGGTCCAAAAATGTTACATATTCCTACACTTCCCCTACTTCCTATTCCTTCCCCCATTATCTCTATACTTCTGTGAAGTTTTTCAGAGATTCCTACTTGTAAATATGAAATGACTCTTTTGGAATTTTTGCAAGTTTTGAAAGGATACTTGAAGATTTGTATTACAAAGAAATTTTCTTCTGAAAATCAAGTGACAAATTCATTGCAAACACAAAACATATAAGATTCACCCTTAGATAAAATATGTAATCAAAACTCACAAAATAAACAAAATTAAAAAGGCCGACGCGTTTCAGGGCGTCTGTCCCGTCCTTCAGGGCAGAATCCAATCAGAATCTACCCTGAAGAGGAAAACTGGCGCCCTGGAGCGTGTCCGCTGATTTTATTTTGTTGATTTTGTGAGTTTGAGTTTGATATTTTGATCCTGCACATTTAACATTGTTTTTGCCTCAATTTTGATACGCACAATTTGTTACTTCGGTATTCTTGGTTTCCTTCTTACTTCTCAAGGTTTAGTTTATTGATAGTGTAATAAATCAAAACATTGGCATGATAAATAAAAGTATTTGTCATAACTGAATTCTGTTATCCCTCAAAGTTTATTTACAGTTTGTCAAAGAAAGAAATGAAACTCACTTGGCACGAGTCCTTGCCCTTTTCTGCACCAGCACACAATTGTATCCTGTCATCTATACCATTCATAAGCTGAGCTGTTCCAGCGTTGCCCTTAAATGAGTCATTACACTTTTTGTGACTAACGAATGGAAGTTGAATTTTCTGCAGCATCGGACTCGATGGGCCCACTGATTCCACCAAAAAGATACCAGAACAAGAAATACAAAAAAAACATAAAATTTTCCGCAATTACAAAGGTCTACAGTTATAATGAGACAAAGATCCAAGATTGAAATGCTCCTCGAATTTTTAGAGCTGAATGAGACCAATCCACACAAATCAGTCATTTTGCATCTTCTTGGAATCCACTCCTCCTAATGGCCCTCACTAGGTAGACCGCAACCATTGTGATGTACCATTAGCTGCTCTTAGAAGAAATGCAATGCACTTCAACTTCCTTCTGCAATTCTCAAAGTGGGGTCTCAAAACTCGTCCGTCGGAATGACTGATATATACAGATTGGTTTTGGTGCTAAATCCAAAAATGCCATTCATTTTTCTCTATTACGAAAAGATTTTCAGCAAAATTGAATTTTAACCACCCAAAAAAGGACAGGATTTTCAGACGTGTACGAGGAAAGAGTTGATGGTATTTTCAGGTTTTTACAGGTTCAATAGCCAAAAATACACACATTTCAAAGATTCATCAACTGGGATCTTTCCCTCTTTTTGAAAAAAATTGTTCTGAATAGCCAAGTTATTTATGCGTGGGTTGGTTTTTTTGAAATGTAATGAACGTTTAAGTTCTTTCTAGTCTTCAAGAGCGGAGCTAGAATAAGAGGAGTGTAAATTAATAGTACCAACTTTTAATTTTGTTAAAAATGAGAAGAATCAAATAGTTTACAGTCCAATAGAGAAATACTTTTCACGAAAAATACTGTTGCAGGAGAAAGTTGGAAATTAAAAAAACTATCAATTGTTTTAATTCTAAAGACTTGTTTTCCAATTTTGTCCACCATTCCTTCAACAGTTCTTACATAAACTGCATCAAGGATTTCAAAGTTGCATTGCCACTGAGTTTTTAGGCTCTAAACAGGCAACAAATTTGTATTAGCACCAGAGCCAACAAAAGTTAGCCAAACAGTCAGTACGCTCGTCAACAAAGGATTTCATTATGAACTTTGCAGCTCATCTTGAGTTGATTCCTAGCTGGACTTGCAAAAGTGTATGCAGCTTGCACAAAATTTCATTTTTTACATTTTTTATCCACTTTAAAGTCTGAATTCAACTGCGTAAAGCATCTGATGAGTTAGTGGGAAAAATTTTCACCCCGAGGGAGAAGGCGCTTCAGGGCTTGCTTTGTTAGTAAATTTTTCTGAAATGAATTCCGACAACAAAATGTGAAAGCTTGGAGAAATCTGTACCAGACGCATTTATGCTGTAAACAAGAGGGTGAAGTTGTCTTACCAGCCTCAAGTCGACCCCAGCCAGACGCAATGCCTTTGGTCCCAGGTATGGTCTTCTTAGTTTGGAGGCACAAGGGACGTATGTACAATGAAAACTCTACTTTTCTGTCTAGTTCCACTAGCATAATGTCATTGTAAGTAGATTCAGACCTATACTGAGGATGAACAATTACGCGAGAGACCCCATACGTCTGTGGCGTAGCGTCATCTGATTCTGTACTGAAATCTAGCTCCCCCAGCAGGATACTTTGGATTCCTCCACTGAAATTGAAAAGCGGAAAGCAGAACATAAGACAGAACGCAAGACAATAAAAACTGTGCAGAACTATCAATAACTGGTTAGACATATTTGAGCCATTAAAATTTGTGTGTAGTGCCAGTAATTACAATTCTTTTTAATTTAATTTTTGATCCGTAGAGCTTTTTTAATGTGTGTTTATTTGGAGTGTTGGTGCGAGTGAGATTCAAACTTTATTATAATTTTTTGGGAAAGGACATCAACATGAAAAGACCTTAACGTCATTGTTCAGTTTTTCTGATAAGGACATTAGATTATGGCATTTGAAGTCCAAATCTATTTTCCCACTTCTTTGAGCCCACTCAAGATCCAGTTCTGGAGAATAAGCATTCATATGGGTGATTCTCTAATTTCTTGAAGTGCTTCTTGTAATTCGCACACATCAATCACAGTTTTGGAATTTTTTTTAACCATCATCTTACATGTATACGTTAAAGCCAATGTTGGATGTCTGGGCAATGACGTCACTGGCCGACCAATTATATCAATGACTGGGTGCTTTGGCTAATGCATACCTTGGCCAGTCACTAATGTCATTGGCCTGTTCCTCACATTGGCCATAACATATACATTAAGTAATTGAAATTCATTATTTTGTACTCAGTGGTGTGGCATGCTTTGCAATATATAGATTTTTATGCCATTTAAACCTATGGAAAAGGATCGATAAACAGGGTGTTCGCAGCGAGTTTAAAAATTGATCCTTTACCATAGGTTTAAGTAAATGGCAAAACAATCGATTCATCGAAAATCACGCCTTGCCACTGTTTGTACTGACGAAAAGTCATCATTGAGAGATTTTGGTTGCTGGATCAGAAATACACGAGGTCAAACAAATACTCACAATCTTGGATGCCTCTCACAATGTGCAGCTGAGAGGACAAATCTATCGCTGATGAGTGAACCTCCACACTGGTATTTAGGCGGAGATCCAAAGCCAATCAACGCCTGAAACCAACAGGCACAAACTGAAGCTGGAGAAAAAAGATTATTTTTAACTAGTGTAGTGATAATTTAAAAGAAAAACAATGCTCCTAATGAGCCTTTGTTAGGGACTGCAATTTTTCCAATGGAAATCTTTTAGATTGATCAGAGAAACTGAATCCAGAGAGGATGCTAGTTAAATCACAAAATCTTCATAGTTGATGGAGTCAATTTTTGGTTTTCCAACACAGCAAGACTTAGGTTATCAAAGCTAATTGAAAGAGAAGTATTGGTGATACTTCTCTTCTCTTCATTCTTGGACCCACAGTGTCGTCCGACTTTTTAAAATTTTTTATAAAAAAGAAAACTTTTAAAACATTTTTAGAAACAAATTCTGGAAAATTGGTAAATCCTCTGTTTGTTTAATCAACAGACTCTAATCATGCCTTTTTTTCTCTTTTAGAGCATCACCTCAAATTTAGGAATCCTTGGCTGTAAAGAACTTAAGATAATGAGATCCTACAGTATTGTGGGCACAAGAATAAGATTAATTTAGTGTCCATTCAGAACTATTGTGATGATGATAGTTCTGAAAAATAATGAATGGTTCTTCAAGCTTCTCTGAGAAAATTTTCTGAAGACTTATTGCGTCTAACTATAGCGTTCCATCGAAGATTGAGTATCTGTTACATTATTTTGGCTACATGCCCCCTCGCAGAACAAACTTCGTAAAACAATATTTTATTTCTATATTATTATTAGTCAATCATTCCCTCTGACTAAGTAATCATAAACTTAAGAGAAATGAAATATGTGTCAAAGTGGAAAGATATGAGATATGTACCATGTGGGGGAACTCTCGAGGTGACGCATCACTGCCTCCCGTTATTAACTGCTCAACATTGTCACAATGCTTTGTCTTGTTTGCAGTTCCTGAAGGACCACTTTGTAAAGTGATGATGGAGTCTTCTTTCCAAATCAGCTTTTTGTACTCCTCGCATTCTGAAAGCAATTAACGGTAATTAAAAATTTTCGTTTATCAATCTCAAATTTACATTGCCTTGCTGAAGATGAAAAAATCACAATTTGAGGTATAAAGAGCTCTCTGAGCCTTACCTCTTGGAGCCAGAATTTGAACCACAGTTACAGCTTCAACCAGAATCATTCTAACTGCATTAAGTATCAACTAAAATCCTCTCATGATTTATTTCTTTTGAACATGTAAATTGGTTATGAATATCCATTTAAGTTATAACCAAGCAGGAGAAAGTTTCAATTTCTTACGATGATATGTTTCTTCATTCTTCATGACCTCCTGAGCATTTTAAAATTTAACTATCTTCATGCCAAGTTCAAGAAAAGCAAAGATGAAAAGGAAATTGATTAGCATTTTTACACCTGCTATCTTAGAGAAATGTGAGCGATTAAAGAGAGCTTTTCACTCCTTGCCATGCACAGGCCAGGAAAATAGGAGCTACATGGTATCAATTGTTTCAGAGCAAGAGGCTCTGCATACCTATAAAAAACAGCAGCAATGTCATATCCTCTTACAAAAACAGATGCTGAAAAAATTCACTTTTCAGACTCCTTTTCCTCGAAATTACATATACCACATGAAAAATTAAATTAATAAGCTTTTTGTGCTTGGGAGGTCAAAAAGAACATTTTATAAAAAAATAATGAAATTCAGCCAGCTCCAAATCCTTTGTTTTACTGTACAGTATATTCTTTTCCAGTAGTGTAATCTCTGCAAAGTTTCATGAAAAATATGGTAGTTGAGCTTTTAACAGAAAATGCTAACAGATGTTGTAAGAAATGAGTTGCTGGCAGATGGGTTCACGTTGACCTGTAAATGTCCAGCAGACAGCCTAAAGTTACACATAAAATCAACAATTTTGAGCCTTGAACATGGCAGCTTGAATAGTTTTTTCTAAAAAATTTAGTTTTTTCCCTGCAAACATAAAATAGATGGCTAAAGTGTTAGACTGAGTACGTATTTCCATTTGCAACGTTGTAGACTTCCATTCGTATAGCATTCTTTCCTTGGAGAACTAATTAATGTAATTTCTTGGAAACTTCATTGAGTTCCCTTCTCTGTTAAAAGAAAATACTGTATTTTCAAACCATGAAGTTCACTTGTTCCTCTTCGAAAAAATAGACTAGTAGCGGACATTTTGAAATACTGCAACAGAGATACAAAGTGTTGCACTTTAGCCATCGAAAAAATTCATACTTACTGTGCTTCAAACTAACTTGCCTTTTTTCAGCACTTTGTCCCATACTTCCTTTTTGTATGGCACTTTACCGGGTAATGGTACTGTCACAATATCATTTTCAGTTTTTCGACATCAAGATCCCTATTCCTATTAATGACCATATTTTTAATTATGCTTTCAGCATTCCTATGGTTGATCCAGAGAGTAAGCACGTATGAATGCTGTTTCCTTAAAAATATATTTGGACTGCGTTAAGCAGAAAGGAACCAAGGCACATCATCTATTGCCAAATTTAACATGGCAATATTATTTTTTTACATGAGTACGTTTGTGCGGATTCCTTCCAAATTTGACTACGATTAATTGATTAACTACGCAGAAAATTCACTGAAATTTGTCGGAAAATCCGCACAACCGTTTTCAGGTAAAAAATTAAATCGCCCAATTAAATTTGGCATTAGCTGATGCGGCTTGGTTCTTTTCTGCTAAACGCAGTCCATTTAAAAGAGAGAGCAAGGCAGAGAGATGTGCTTACTAGCAACAGCTGTGGAATACTCTCCAACAGTTGGTACAGGTGTAACGGCCGGTCGTCTTGTAGAGGTGGCCTGAGCATTCAGGGGTGTAACACTGTTCCAGTCTGCTATTTCGTATGGTGGACAGCAAACCACCGGAGCAGACCCCTTGAAGCCACATCTGCGGTGGACAGGAGGGGTTTTCCTCTGCTTGACCAACGTCAGCGCCGCAGGACAATTGTTTAAAACTTTGCAGAACCATGCTGGATTCTCTGTTGTTGGTGCTAAACACTGCTGACCTAAAATCATTAAAATTATAAATTTAACAGCAAAAAAAAGAAGAAGAAAAAAAAATAAAAAAACATTAAAATTTAACAATTTTTTATTCTTTTATCTATTTATTTTTTTTTATTAATGTTATAAAATTAAAAACATGAAACGAAAAATATGCCTTGATTAGTAAGTTTACTGCTTGTTTACAGTTAAACTTAAGCGTTTATTAAAATCATGATTTTTCTGGTGAAGGAGCTAAAAAATGTGAAATTCTCTGAATTATTTTTTATCCCGCCAAAAGAGCTCCCACTCGTGTTTATTAACAGATAAAACGGAATAAAAAAATAAGAATATGATGGTAAAAGACCACACTGAGGCGGCATCGTGATAATTCCGTATCCTTTGGCTCCGGATCCTTTTGTCCTCTGTCACACGTAAAAAACTCCTTCAATTGCTCTTGATACTGGCCAAATTGATGTGTGCATAGATTGCCTATATTGACAACTGAAGGGGTTTTTAAGTGGTGGATAACTGACTTTACGGCTTTTAGACCGTTCTCATTACGTGTCCGTGTGCTCAGTTTTTTGTTTTATTTTTACCTTCCTCGGTATTTTCAAAGTAAAACTCACAAGAGGTAAAATAAAATTGAAAAAGTTTTGATAACTGTTACGTGATCGACTAGTTTAACAACACCAAAAAAATGTTTAGAAGAGTGATAAAAAAAACTTTTTTAAAAATCCGCCATAAATAGGTACCTACTTACAGACTTTTTAAAGTAACTTTGCTGTAAAAAAATATGGAAAAGGGTCTTTCTATAAGTACATTTCAATAAGAGGTTCCTGGGAACATTTCTGAAAAGGGCTATTCAACAATCACTGCCATACTGGGGTCAGCATACCGACATATATCTAAAACTAGACATGATATCAAAATGATGTCGAACTGATTTCATTAAGAACGCAGGCAATCTGATGTCGCTTTACTTACTTTCACTAAGGAATTGTAGAGAGAGAGAAAAAAAACCCCGAAAGTTTACAATAGTGCTTGATGTATACCGAGGCACTTCAGAAATGTACTTATAGAGGAAATTGAGCTTACGATCAGTAACCAACGATTTACGCTAAAGCACTTTAGGAAGACTTGAAACGAAAATGAGAAAAATGAGAAGTGAAGAGAAAACCAGAGATGTTTTCTTAAAAAATACTGATTAAAGGTTTCCCTTTACGTAAATTTCATCATATTCCGTCAGAATTGTTAAAAAGTGCTTCCATGTCACTAGAGTGGGCATACTGATATCGGCCCGACACTAGACCGAAGGTTGTCGAACTGATATCAGATTGATTCGCGACTCATCAGAGGCGATTGACTAACTCACTTTCACTAGAAAGTGCGAAACAAAACAATAACACATCAAATCTGGGATTGCGGACCGCGTCACTTCGGTATGGGGTTCACGGGAAGCGCTAAGCTGGGATCAAGAATTAACACTAAATTAGGCACTTGATGAGGTATTTAGACAAAAAAAAAAAAGTAAAGAAGAGAGTAAACTTTTGATCACCTTCTTCCTTAGGCTCGGTGTACTGGGCCGCGACGGTGGCGACGAGGAGTAGAAGAAGCGCGGACACTCGCGGCATGGCTGGCAGGCGGATGGCTTTGAGCCGTGCGTCAAGGTGAGCTTCCGTCTTCGGCCACCTCCGCCGCCTCTCGGCCCGGCTTCAGGTATTCTGATCAGCTCCTGATTCTGATTGCGAATTCCTCCACTTCGCTAACGGCAGGTTCCTCCCACCTCCGAGCGCTGTTGCCGGAGTCGCCGATCTCGACCGTCGATCCGCGGGAGGTCCGAGGGGATTCCCGCCCAATATGAGATTTCAGCTCATCATTCCAGGGTGATTAGACAAAAATGAGCTTGGTTGGGAAAAAAATGATTAACTGCCTGTCCCTCGCTTTTTTTAACAATCAGGGAAATTTTGCGTTTTTTGCGAATTGCAGGGAGGCCGCAGAAATTTAGAGTTGGAATTCCCTGACAAATTTTAAGTTCAGACACAACGTGGAATTTCAGCTCATCATTCCAGGGTAGTTAGATAAAAATGGATTTGGTTGGGAAAAAATGACTAACTGGCAGACCCTTTTTTCCTTTTTAACAATCAGGGCAATTTCTCACACCTCTACGTTTGTTTCCCACTGCAGTGAGGCCGCAAAAATGTAGAGTTGGAATTCCCTGAATTTTTCAGGTTTTCTCTGACAAATAAGCAATTTTTCTGACTTCATACACAACATGGAATGATTAATAATGATTGTAGGATTTTTCAATCCGGCGAGGACACAAACTGAGAATACAAAATTTGATCAAGTGATATCTTTTCAAAAATACCAAAAAAAAAAAAAAAAAAAAAAAAAAAAAAAACCAAAAAAAAAACCAACAAATCTTGCAGGTAAATAATTTAAATCCCAGATTTTCATAAACCATTAATTGAAACAATGAGTTAATCAACATTTGAAGAAAAAAAATTAAATTTAGTCTTCTTCCGGAGGGAGGGAAGATTTTTGCAGTCTGACTACTAAAAGTAATTTAATTTTGAACATTAAAGAGGTGATGAGAACTTTCTTTCTGTCCCCACTGAAAAGTCAAACCAACTCGTGATGTTTCTTTCAGAAAATATGTAAGTACGTAAAATTCTAAACCCAGATTTGTATCAAATGTCATTCTTGACACTGAATAAAATATTATCAGGGAAAATTGAGAATTTCGAGAGAGAATATGGCAACTCAGAGTTAATCCACGCTTTCTTAGTTGTAAACTGCGCGGCAGGGGTGATACTCACTACTCGGGTGCGATTGATCACCTCAGAAAGAGAAAAATTGGCGACTGAGCATGCGTTCCGTTTTGGGGCCGCTGCAAAATATTATATAGAGAATCAATGCACGCGATGACGCGACCTATGGAAGCAATTAAAGTCGACTGATGGTTGATTGACGTAATGATGAGTAGTTACCGAGTGCCTCGCTTGGATCGCGTTGCACTCACGTGCATGCAGACAGATGCGTCACTGAATGCAACAAGTTTATCATTTTCTCGATCGATCTTTCAGGGTTTGAGACCTCAATAATTACACTTGACAATCGTCTTATCAAAATTCAAGCTGAATACCCAGAGTAGATTGCTGAACCAAAAAAAAAAACAACAAAAAAAATACACTTTGTGCGGCCATATCCGAAAGTCTCTGGGCCGTCACTGAGAGGCCTACATTTTTTAGCCAAGGCAGCTGGATTTAAAAACGTTTAATCTTCTGACTAAACACGCAGTGAGAAAAAATATCAAAGTGCCTTCCCCGCACAATAAAAAAAAAAAAATAAAAAAGTTATTAAAATTGATATTAAAACAAAAATTAAAATAGGAAACGGTAAGAACTGATTTGAAAAAAATTAATAAAATTAAAACCAATAAAAATAGGCAAATAAAATTATTTTAAGAAGGAAATAAAATAAAAAAATATAATTACTAGTAGAGCTAAACGATAATACAAACAGAGGAAAAACCATGTAAGAGAGCAGAAATCTAGCTACGTTCTACACTTTTTGATTTTAATCATCAAAGAGGTTGAAATGTAGAAATCGCAGATAATAGTAATCTAAGGAACTGCAAGAGGGCGAGATATCAGCGAAAAAATGGAAGGTCGTCATTTTTTGGGCACAAATAAGTAAAAATAACAAAATTTACGACATCGTGAGAAAAGAGGTATAAAAGTGAATCTGCTCGTGCTAAATGACAACTGTGAGGAAAAAGCTCTGGCAAAAGGTCCGAAAGTGATAACCTACAGCAGTATTGCATGATTTCAAAAAAAATTTTCTTTCATTATCGTAATATGGGGGCGTTACATGCAGTCGAAAAAAATACGATTAAATACGATTAAAAATACGATTACGTTACGATTTAAAAAGTGATTTTAATTCGGAGGGGTCAACATTGGAATCTGTGTTTACATCGCTGATTGATACCATAAGACGAGCACATGTGACGTCATCAGCTTTGGTTCAAGGTCGATCAAAATCGCAGCAAAAAAACAGGGACTCGCGTGTGCTGACCAACCGCATGTTACCAGGAAAACGACACTCTTAGAGCCTTTTAACGACCAAGTTTCAAATAGAGATGCAGATTAAATTAGACGTATTTCTATCAAACAGAACTATTAGCATTATGACGTGAGCCCTGTTATGCACATATTCTTGTGAGTCTCAGGGCTCACGTCTTAATGCACATAGTTTCGTTTGATAGAAATTCGTTGAAATAAGCGATCGCACTGAGATTCTTGTAGCTACTTAAATAGTTCTTCGTATTTTTGGAATCAATAAAGCAATCTGTTTTCTCTTTACTTGTTTCCTCTAAAGCAAACTAAAAAAGCTGCTCGTGCCTTAATATCAATTTGAGCATTCTTTTAGGCATGTTAAAACAATTCATTACTTCTGATTAGTTAAGAAAAACCACGAGAGCAATGCGTAAAATGCATTGCTGACTGATAGAAAAGAGTGCTTTCTCAGGCAGAGTAAGTGGCTGAAGTCTTATATTTTTGTTTCTAATCATAGATCTCTTTACACGGCTTCTAGGATTCCTACATTAAAACTCTGAAGTTGNGGGGGGGGGGGGGGGGGGGTGCGCTAGGTAATCGCTTGTCAATAGAGCTTTAAATTAATTGAAGTTTCTAAATGTTGTAGAATCCTTGGTGCCTAGAATACCTAGCTCATGCAACGTTGATTTTTTCATCACACAAAATGCAGACTGGTAGGGAATGAATAAAAAACACTTTGCATACAAAGGATGTCTTAAAACTGATGAAAAACTTTTTCTGGGAGGAAAACTTAGGCATTTATCAAAATATAGTTTGAAACTTTAGTCTTAGTAATTACCTAACGCGCGAGACTTTGACTTCCCTGAGTTAAAATTTAACCGAGTTGCAGAATTTTGAACAAGTCAAGTCGCGCTACCCCTTCAGGATTTTTTCGATTTTATTTGCGAGGAAAAAAAGGAAATTTATGAATTGAAGGCTTATCGCACTTTACAGGGCCTTCCGAATGTTTATTTATACAAATTGAAGGGAGAAAAGGGAGAGGAGCTTGAATGCATTGCGAAGTTTCAGTCGACAAGTTATTGATTTGAGCGCTCAAGAACTATTTAAAATTATCTACCTATTGCAACTTATGTGAACATTTTTCGTGATTTTACGAACATTTTCAGATTTTTGACGTGACGTTTTCACCCGCTAATAAATCAAAATATAAAGTTTTTAGGCGAAATTTCGAAAGGTTCCAATGCAAGCAAGTCCCTCTAGCTCAAATGACAGGAGTTAATTTTTTCATAGGATGCGGCGGGATATGCACTTCCTTTCCGGAATAACTTTCTTTGCTTTGCACGCAGCTTTCTCGGTACTTGGATTTCCCCAAAAACCAGCTGTAATGCTTATTTTAAATTATTCCTTCGTTAGGGTTTCCAAGAAGTGTTCAACAATTCTCTAGATATCTCCGAACAAATTGAAATGCCTGCCTATAGAGCTTTATTAAAGTTCTGGAAAGAAGGGGTTGAGATCCAGGACATTAACAAGGTGCGGGAGACAGACAATCCCATATGTTTCCACGAACTCTTGATTGTAAAGCACGGTCTGGGTATGGGCAATGTCTGTATGGAAAATAAAAGTCTCTTTCATGTCTGGTCGCTTCTTGGTAATGCGGTACCGCTTTTGCGGTAATAACAGGACTCTAAATTAAACTTCAAATTTATCAATATCCTTTCTTCCTCGAAAATTGCGATTCATGGGATATCTTTTCACCCCCCTTGAAGCTCCTGTCTTCTCGGAAACTTGCAATTTGCAAAATCTCTTTTTCCCTTATTGAGAATGAAAGCGAAAAATACTGGAGGGATGAGCACAATATAGATTTTTGCCAAAACTCTGTGACAAGAAGTCACATCGGTTTCGTTTTATAGGTGATTACTAAAATTCAGCCTAAGGTACTCTATGTAACTGATTTTTAACACGTGCTTTCGTTTGCCTTCAAGGAAAAATGTTCGATAGGTATTTTTTGATATTTTCTGCGCTGGTTCATACTCTAACTCTAGATAGTTTTGCCAAAATCAACTTGATGAGGCACACAAAACTGCTATTTTCTGTATGTGGGCAGAAATGGACGAGATCAAATTGTTTTTAAAAATACCTGATGAGTGATGGTTCCGATAAAAAATTCTTCCGCACATACACATAATAAATAAAACGCCGAAATACCTGAGATTAGTTACCGCACGTCATGCTTACTTACGATAATTAGGTAACTTAAATTTATGAATTAGGTATCAAAAAAGTTGAACTGTAAATCCTTCCTCCCTAACATACTATCTCCGAAGATGTGATTTTTCCGTGATCCCTATTTAGAAACCAACTGCTTGCACAAAAGAATCAGGCCAATCAAAACGATAAAACTGAGCTGAACCGAAAATTACGATCATAAATGTAGATCTGTTGACCGCCAGACCTGTGAGAAAAGCTACGCGCACTGACTTTAATCTTTACGTGCGGACACGGTGCCGAAGTGCTTATCATTCATTCATGATTTCCTCAGGTAAATCGAGTGAATATCCATACGTATACGAGCCTATTAAAGTTTTGGAATGTGCGTTGTTTCAACTCGACGGAAGACATCCCGGGGAAAAAATGCCCAATTTTGCAATCCGCAAATTGAGAAACATTGCGGACACACATTTTTTAGAACGCAAGGCAACTTTCATCAGAGGTAGCGCCGAAGAAATCGACGGAAAAATTAATATTAGAAGCGATAGAGCTCCACGTAAAAGAACAGATTTTTCCTGACCAGAAACAGGACCCATTTATAACCCCTTCGGAGAAACACGATTTCCGCTTGAAGCGCCCACATTTCCACGTGATACTCTACACATAGCATCGGAGTTAGTTTAGTTGCATGGCCAGCTCGAACCCAACTGCGGACTAACTGACGACGGCTGCTTCGTCATTTTCCGGTAGATTTGACCATTTCACATTTATTTTGAGGTTACTTGACTGAAAATTTTAATGTGACTTCCGTTCCCTGACCTACTTTCCGAACTTCCCTCTCTTCCGCGCAAATTTTATCGGGTGTGAACGAAATAGGATTATGTCTCCAAACTTCTGTGAGTACACGGAAAAAATTGTGACTGCAATATTTCAACGTAGATTTTACAGCACATAAATACTACTTCAACACCCCCCCCCCCCCCCTAGATTTTACAACAAAAAAATGCTACTTTAACCATTCTCGTTGTAAAAGTAGCTTACAATAGTGGTTAAAATAGCATTTTTTTGTTGTAAAATCTACGTTGAAACATTGCGGTCACTTTTTTTAGCAATGGACCACTAGACAAGGTACGAATTTAAGCATTCTATTACATGTTTCTTGACCAGAATTTCACGTAGAACACGATTCGCGCAACGAAAATTACCGAAATCAACTCCTAACGAAGATATTAACGTTTATATTTCACATTGGTTACGAGGAGTTTGAACTGCCCGCTCACAAGAAACTCAAAGCTCTACGTGAGTCAAATCGTGCACTAGAACGGTTCCAGCAAACTTCTCAATCAAGCGATGTTCATTTCCCACCACGTGCTGTTCAAACTGTAAACAACTTGCAATAGCTGAGCTAAAACGTCAAGATTAGGGTTGCCAGATTTTTATATCGCAGAGACTGTCATGATAAAGTTTAGCGCGCGATGTGAGTCACGTAGAGCATTGAGTTTTCATGAGCGGGTGGTTTGAATTCACGCATCAAGAATCAGTATTTATCTTCGTAGGGAGTTAATTGCGGTAATTTTTGTCGTGCGCATCGTGTTCTACGCGAAATTTTAGTTACGAAACATGTATCAGAATACTGAAATTCGTACCTTGTCTAGTGGTCCATTGAATTGTCAAATGAGCAATTTAATTTTTTAAATAACCAGTAGTGGTCCCTACATGCAGCCTTTTGTAGGCGGAGCCAATAAGCACAACACTTATCATGCTGAGGGCGGACGAATTGCGATACAAATTGAAAAATCGCGACTGCGCAATAGAACCCGCAGCAACGTTACCTACGGTAAGTTAGACTCGAAGAAAACCGGCAATACCCTCATAAATTTCTCCGCTCAATGACTCTTCGAGTTTTTTTGCTTTATTCCACAAACCAGTAGCCTTGATAGCGTTTTATCATGCGGGCACTATACTCCCCGGACGATCAATGAGGTGAACGAACACTTTCTCAACGAGTTTTGATAAAAATTCTGTCGTGGTTTTTCAACTACAATATCGAATGTTGCAAATAATCAGGTCTACGCTAGGGTCTAAAAGAGACTCGGCAAAAATGCAACCTGACCAGCCTCGAATATGAGTTTGAGATTGTGCGCCTCCCCTCTCCGTTGGATAGGTCTCAATAATTTATTTCGAGCCAATCCTATCAATTACTAGGATTAACAGAGGTAGGCATGAAAACCATTGACGTATAATACAATCGAGACCGCGCATTCGGAAATTTCGGCGAGACGATAGGCAACCCGGATTGCAATATGTGCCGAGACAATGGAAATGCCAGTCTTGCCTGTGCCGTTGCCTGGCATGCTTCGTATAACCGGCTGTATCCATGGCCGGATTTACCTACTTGCCGCCCATGGGCCGCCTGTATTTTGCCGCCCTCTTTTCATTCATTTTGAAACACTAGTAAAAACCATTAGGTGAACGTGCCGGAGGGAGAAGGGTGCATATTGCATAAGACGCGTTCACTCGTGTTGGACACATTTTTTGCGTAAGCCCTGCGTTGACACAACTGCAAAAGTTCACGGAACTTCGCGCAAAAGTTCAGTTCCGTAAACCTATCTCTGTGGGGACAAGGCCTTTCATTTGTAAGAAATGAACTAAAAAATTAGGAAAGAACAAACATGAATGTGGTTTAATAATTTTAACTTCCGCCGCCGTGCCGCGCTGACTACGCTGTGCATGGCGCAATGCGTGAAGTATTCATGAAGTCTTGTAGGCACTGTGCGTTTCACGCCGCGCCGACCGCTGTTGACCGTGCTGTGTTTGACGCAATGCGTGAAGTATTCATGCAGTCTCGTAGGCGCTAATATGTGTTACATGCCGACCGCTGCGTCGAGGGCTTGTCCTTTTCATCTCAAGTCCTCGTCATCATTTCTCTTTGCGCCGCACCAGCTCCAGGCCAAATTACGTGTTTGATTTCTCTCTTAACTCAACTAATTAAAGGTGCGCAGTCTTTTGTACCACCGAAGTACGACAAAATTAGAAATTAATGAACTCTCAGGAAATGAGAAATTTTGTCACCTTTTCTTGTATGTAATTTTTTTCTGAATCCGATTTTTTTTGTACCTGCATTTAAAAAAATTGCAAAATTTGCCGCCCCCTAATTTTGCCGCCATGGGCCGCGACCCATGTGGCCACCCCCTTAATCCGGCCCTGGCTGTATCAACTAAGCTGAAGGCGCGTCTTTACCCTGATTTATCCCCCTAGCTGTCTTACCTCCCCCGCCTAAAGTCGGGTCTAGTGCGCGGTCTAGATTGTATTATACTTCAATGATTAAAACGCATTTTGGGGTTTAATTCAGCTATAGATTGTAGAGAGCGCAAAAGTTGTTTGAAGGAGATAAGATTTGCATACGAAAAATAGGGGAGAAAAACTTTAACCAATTTCCAAAAATGCCCTCAATGTTGATTTGACCCCCAAAAAGGCCAACTTTAACAAGGGGGGGGGGGTGTTAACCCCTAATTTTCTTTATTCCGCCCCTAAAAAAATCGCTGACCACGGTCGGTCGGTACCAAGACCAATCTACACAGGTCAATCATTCCCAACGACGAGTTTAGGAACTCTACAGCGCAATGACGTATAATTGGCTGTCTGCTATGTATTTCTTATGGGAGCAGCCAGTGTGACGTCAGATTGGCTGCGGCCTAGTTACGGCCGGGCGGGGGAGTGGATTTCAAAAAGATGCACAAGGACTGACCTGTGTACATTGGTCGAAACATACTAAGTTCGTCGTGCCAAGTCAAGTTTGAAAATAGTTTAAGTCCATTCCAGATCGTTTCCCTAGGAGCTCATTCCGTAAACTTAGGCTTATTTTGTAGCGTAAACGGGCTAGATACTTTCTGAACATTTCACTACTCAAATTCTACAAGATTAAAAATTTGAGCTAAGACTATAGGGTAACAACAGGCCACGTTTTCAAAATGGGCAAATCTTTGTAATAACAACTGAAAATTGATAGTTTCAGTCTCTAAATTTCTGCAAGAGGCAGAGATCATCTTTCTATGAAAAAACGTTGATGAGATGTATGTTTTGTCATTTTAAAGTTTTAATTGCTACAGAGAACTGGCTAAAATCCGAAAAACGTAACTAAAATGATATAGTCTTTTCGGAGTTTTTTAAATCAGAGGTAAAAATAAATCAGTACTTAAGGTCAACATTCCGCTTGTTTATTAGCTTTGAATATATCAAACAAATCATGATTTTCCCAATTATATTCTTCAGATGTTCTTAGGCATTCCACACCAATAAAAATCAATGTGACTTAAAAAAATATGTCCATTATTTTTACGAGAAAAAAAAAATGAAACTTAAAAAAGGCAACAGTTAAAAATGCAAGATATTCATAAAATCACTGACCGTCCGTAATCATACATACTAAAATATCCATAAACTCCTGCGCATGATAGCTTAAAAAGTTAAAATTATGTTCTGACCATTTTCCTCCTGAGGTTTTTTGGTGAAATTTACAACTGGTTTAAAATATGGAATATTTACACTTTACAAAAATCTTAAGTTACTTTTTTATGTTTTCTTGCATACTCTGACTTAGAGCTAAGAATGCTAGATGACCTTTTGGACATTTATTAGCGTAATGTCCTTTCGTCCCGCACTGAAAGAGAAAGATAAAAAAAGAGAAAAAAATTGGTTTTAGAATTCATAATCAAACATTTGAGAGCATGCTAGAGCTGGTTTCTGATTTTAATTTCAAAACAGTAAACATACAAAGAGAATCTATCATTTGACCCGAAGTTTTTTTAGCTGACCCACAGATCGTCAGAGGATTGAAACCTTTACATTCAAGTATCAGCATAACAACAGACAGACAGATGACAGACAAAGGATGAGAGAGGGAGAAAAAATTAATCACTGTAAAAAAGATACTGAATAGCTCTTTTTAGTAGCCATGTTAAGCCTGAGCAATACTGCTAAAATTGTGTACTGATGTGTACTTTCTAGTGAACAAATCCCAAGTCATGACAGTGCAGTAGAACCCCAGTTATCAGCGTTAATTGGGACCGGAGCTGCTGCGGATGGATGGAACTTACAAACAGCGGATCGTAAAAGCACCATAAGAGTCGTTTTTTTCAAACAACACAGGACCTGACTTTCAACTGCCTGGCTAATTGGAAAAACCAGCGTCTAACGGAAAGAGATCGAAAATGACTTTTGATCGTTCGGACTGTCATTTTTTGCTAGGTCACCTCTTTCACCATTGTTTCGTCCAAGAAAACCAAATGGCAGTGCTCTACATAACCGCCAATGATTCGACTGGGGATGACTGGGGTTCTACTGGGATTTTTACCATTATTATACTCTAAATTTTAGATGATTAAATTAAACCATCACCCGCAAAAATTTTTGCTATCTCAAAAGCAAAGTAAAAGCTATATTTGGGTGCATGAAAGAGCTATGTACTCAATCATTGGTGCAAAGGAATAAATTGCTGCTTTCTCCAAAATTTTAACCTCAAGAAAAGGAGAAAGGAGAGGAAAAATTATTCCATTTTTGAAGGGAATTTGCTAAACAAACACCAGAATTTTAGATCTTCTTTGACACATTTTTGACTTCAGGACTACACTCTGAGTTTTATTTGAGTGCCTGATTGAAACCCATGAACTTTAAGTTATCAAGGTCGAGTTTGACAGAAACAAAGTTGCATCAAGCTGGGACTGAGAAAAATAGATTAGAAGCTTTATTCCTCCGACTTACTGTCGTCAGTGAAGTTTGACTATTATTTTCACACTGTAAATATCTTTTCTCAACTTTAAATTTCTGATGAAGAAAAATTTACAAAAAGTTGAGTTTTTTCCAAACTGAATATTGGTGTGTTTCTGGCAAACTTGGTCCATTGTTAGAGGGGCTCTCAAGAAGGCCCAGTCCTAACACTTCTTGAAGATTTAGACGACTGACACCCCGACAAAGCACAACTTCATATGATATAATATGTAGGAATTTCATGTCACTTACACCACTGATAAACCTCAAATGACATTTTCAACTATGATGGGGCATTTTGGAATAAAAGATCCGTGATTCCACTAAAATTAGATGGATGCCCTAAGCCTAAGTGTCTGTCAAATTGTGAATAGAGGTGAAGCACAACGAGAGGAGATAGAACTGGGCGTTTGAGGGTTTCAATGAGCAACCTTGAAATTTTGGCAGACTTCAGAATTTTAAATTTTTCTTACATTTTCAATTCTGGCTTAAGGTCAAATTGGTGGCTAACTTTCTTGAAGATTTACGTACTGTAATTTAAAAACTGTGTTTTCCTCTTCTTTTCTGCAAAAACTTAATTGTAAGAAATCAAAGAGTGCTAACCATTTTTCACTTGTGAAAAATTTTAACTAATAAAAATCTATGGATTGACAAAGTTAGCTCATTGATTCAAGATTTTGCCATAAAAACTAGATGAGACAAACGTGTTTTTTAAAGGGGACGCAACCCTAAAATCGAAAATGAGATAGTATTAAATATTGAAGCAGGAAGGCATAAGAGGCAAAATGGCTCTGTCCCGAATGAAAAATTCCCAAATCCGCAGAGATATGAAAGGTTCTAAGTCTGACTGGTGACATCATGTGCTCATGGTGCGATTGTGGTTTACACGCACACAACTTTAAGTCTGGCGCATTTGCTGTCTAGCGCCGCGAAGTCACCTTAATAGTCACACCTAAGCAAAGAAAAAAGAGTCAGCAAGGAACAAGCGAGATCAGGGCGAACTAATAACTTGTCTCAAACACGGGTGTGCCACTTGACACCAAAGGTAGACAGACTGCAAAATGCAAGACGGAGCTCATGATGTCACGCGCTCAGCTGTTTTTTTGCGATAGCAGCTCAACGAATGCAGATATTCGCAAACGGATTTCGACATCGTCCATTGCACTTTCTTCTTTGTTGATTTAGCCAAACTTGTTTTAAAGGTTGCCGTCCCCTTTAAGAAAAATTAATTTTTACGTTCCGAGATTATATTAAAAAAAAAGCAAGATAAAGGGAAGACCTTACCTTATAACAAGTGACTTCCTCTAGAGGTTTCATGTTGGCTCTCCTATCTTCATTGTGAGTCTAGGTAACAAAGGAGAGAAAAATAAAAATTTAATAAATAGCTAGGATATGTTTCTTGATCAAAATTATGGTTCAATGATGATATTTAATTGAGATAAATATAAAGTTGAAAAGTAATATAAATGATAGTAAGTTTTTTGATTCTCAGTGTAGTACAAATACCAAATTTTGGTTTTTTTGTGACTCTGGTATTAGATAGAAAATTTACTATTTGAAGGGTTTTGTCATTTTTCATGAAGATTTTTAGGACTTTTCACTGTAGCTCAGAGCAGCAGTTCTGAATGCTTGAGAACACAAGTCTATCTTCCATTGAAGATTTGATTTGAACAATGGTAGCAGGACCTATTTGAGCTACGAGGTCTGTTCAATAAGTTTCAGGACTTTTGCCATAAAAACAGTAATAATGGTTCAATTTTACTTTTCTTGGTGTCAATTAAAAGTAGAGAGCAAGACAAAAACAGTGCTTTTTACAGAATTCAGAAATCATTATTGGTTCTCAAGTTACAGCAGCCTAAAGTGACAGATTCCAAGCCGTGCTGCGATTTTTAGGATTCAGAAATCAGTTATTATTTTTCGTTGCCAAAATGTTGTAATTTCTTGCTCGGGCGATCATATAAAAAAAAAAGATATAGACAAATAAATTTTGAAGGATAACCTGATATTTATATCCCTTTACAGCCTATCCCTTTCAAAATACTGGCCTTGACTGACGATGCATTTCCGCCAACAATCCGCCAAATCACGGCAGGCTTTTTGAAAACTCTCCGAGTTGATGCGCCGCAACGTTTGGATCGTATTCATTTGAACGTCCTCCACAGATTCAAATCTTTGACCTTTTAAAGGTTGCTTCAAATGAAAACGATCCGAACGTTGCGGCGCATCAACTCGGAGAGTTTTCAAAAAGCCTTCCGTGATTTGGCGGATCGTTGGCGGAAATGCATTGTCAGCCAAGGCCGGTATTTTGAAGGGGATAAGCTGTAAAGGGACACAAATATCAGGTTATTCTTCAAAATTTATTTGTCCATATCTTTTCTTTTTTATATGATCGTCCGAGCAAAAAATTGCAACATTTTGGCGACGAAAAAAAATAACTGATTTCTGAATCCTAAAAATCGCAGCACGGCTTGGAATCTGTCACTTTATGCTGCTGTAACTTGAGAACCAATAATGATTTCTGAATTCTGTAAAAAGCACTGTTTTTGTCTTGCTCTCTACTTTTAATTGACACCAATAAAAGTAAAATTGAACCATTATTACCGTTTTTATGGCAAAAGTCCTGAAACTTATTGAACAGACCTCATAGGAGGCAACAGAGATGGACTTCTGATGTGATCAGTTGGTATTTCTAAAAGGGCATTGCGTCTGAATGAATGTAAGTGAAAAAGTAAGTAAGAAGTACATACTAAAGTATCACATTTTTACATTCCTTTATGCGGGAGACAATAAATTTTAGAGATTAATTTTTAAAAGGTCAATACAAACAGTCATTCATTTTTTGGGGGTTACTTACATTATTAGGGTCGTTTGGATCTGGACCCATTTTGTGACAATACATCGCTTTGTGGCCTGTATCTCCACAAAAATGACAGATAATGACTAGTTTCTTCTGATCCTTTGACGAGGCATCAGATGCAGGTAACTCAAACCGCGGACTGAAAATTTTAAAAAAATAAATACGTCAAGACATTGAAAGAGAATTCATACAATTAGGGGTGAGAAAAATAAAAATAGATACATAGATATATCAGACGATAAGAAAACTAATTCTACTGATAAGGCAGGCGTGCGGTAGCTAAAAAACGAGGTCAACTGGAATTGTAGGTACTCAGTTGTTCTTAAAAGTAAAATCATGTTTTTGGTTTGACTGAGTCCAAACTTGAAGTTTCCTGACACAACCAGGGTGAGTGTTATCCACTATTCAGAAAAAAATTGCTAAAGAGGGCATCATTTTGGCTTATTCAAAATAGCAGCTGGGCGCGATGCATCGGCCAGTGCGGCCTAAGAGGACACATCTTAGCACAAGACATGAACTTCTGAGGTACTTCTGATTAGCCACCATTAATAATTGCACAAACATATGTGTGTGTGCACACTGAAAGTAATGGGGAAAAATTTGAGACTGAAACTAACTTGATTTACACTCTTCTTTGGCGCTATTTCTGCTCCAAAAAATTTGAGACATTTTCAATATGTGAAATTTTATTCACATTTATGCGCAGAACAGCATGCGATGCAACTAAAACAGATACTTACTGCATATATTTACACTCAGGACCATCAGGACAGAATCCGGCTAGATAGTTGTTACATAGAACTCGTCTGACATGCCGATGCCTACAGACGGGACCATGCCTGCAAAAACCTCTATCATACCAAGGACAGTCCTTAATTTTACTTTCAGGATCTATGTGCAGGAATGGGCATTCCTTGTTGTGGCATGCATCTGGAAAAAATAACAGAAAATTCAGCGTGTGTTGAGAATTGGTGAATCTTGAACCTATTTTCCATGAGTAATAAAGGCAGCGATTAAATAGCAAAAAATGATTCCTCAAAAATATTAGATAGAGGTCATCCCAAATAAGATTACAGACTCATAGAGCAAACAGAGGATCCATCATCAATGCATTTACTGATAATGGCATATTTGATACTCAAATGAGGACAGCATGTCTTCTGTCCTACTCTAGAAGTGCGCACTTACACTTGTTTGGCATAGATTCTGTTTACTATTTGCTTACTGCTGCACATCCTTCAACAGCTTTTTCATCTAGTGGAATCGGAAAATTACTCAGAATCAGCCTATGTGATAGAGAAGGATCAGATGACTCCAGGGTGACTACAGAATCCCGAGAAACAATCCTTTGACTTGTTTTCCAGGTTTTTCTTGACCAAAATTATCAAAATTCCCTGAATTTTCACGTCAATAATTTACAACTTCAGAACTGAAAATGAAACATTTTTTGCGACAATGTCAATGCTTATGATAGAAATATGTGAACCATTTTTCTTCAGGAGGTAATTAACGGAAAACAGGTACAATAAAATTGGTCACCAAAGCTGGAAAAAATTACCCCCACCCCCCTCCCGTTAAATGTAAGTACATTTTATTGAGTTTGTTTTTTGTTTTTCAGTCCGGCTATTTTTATGTAGTTCCGGTGATTAACTACCATTTCAATTTCTTATTGAAACTCATTCTTCTGATCATAATCTGAGTTACCTTACAGCATTATTGAGCCCCAAACTAGATGAAGACTCCGTTGGATCGTGTGGATAGCACTGATGTTTGGTCAGATTCTGAGTTTCAACAATTTTAAAATTTCAAGTCTTTCTTATGAAATTCTTTTCGTAACTTTTTCCTAATTTCTCTGACTTGATGAAATTCCCTCACAATTTCTGATTTTCAAGACCTGTACCTTCCTTCAGCCTCTGAAAAGTAAGACTGATCCGTTCATAAGGTAGGGATATACTTACACTTTGAACAAAGATGTGTAAGCTTTTACTATGACTGAGAGTGATTTTTTTTTGCTTGAAAGAACTGAGAAGGTAAACGTATTTTGCTTGACATTGCAACTGCACAAATAATTTTTCAAGAAAAATCAATTTTAAAACAACTTGCTTTAAGTAACATTAAACTTGAATGAAATTTTGAAAAAGGGGTCGCTTCAGCTTTTTTCCGCTCATTACTTGAAAATAGAGTAGACGTTATTATATTTGAGAAATGAGAAAATGCCTTGTAAAATAAGAACGCCTACAGTAAATATAAAAAGTTCATTAGTGTAAGGTGATTAGTAATAGATTCCATGAAATATTCCATATTCCTGGCGAAAAATCATCATACTTTTCTTTAGAAAATTCAGTTTGAAACAACGCAGTAAATACTTACTAAACCGGGAATAGAAGTAACACTCTGGCATTTTTGTCATGTCATATTCATGCAAAAATTCACACTGGTCTCCTTTTTTGCACAAACCACGCAACCAATGTTTGCAGACAACAGTTCTGTCATCACGGACATGTCGTAGTGGACACGCAGAACCTTTGATACAAGTACCCTTGGGGAAAAATTTGCATACAGCTGCAATGGATTCTGAAAAATATAAAAATGAGTTTATCATGAGACTTACAATATTCACATTCTTGACATCATAGTTTTCAAACACATGCACATCGCCTGACTCAAAGCAGCTCATAGGTGCCTCTTATAAATTCCATTAAATGTATCTACATGAGATGTAACCCTAAACAGCTCGAACACACAATTGTTGTTGATAAGTCAAACAAAGATTTTGTAAATTTCTTTGATGCAATCATAATTTTTTGGAACTCAACAGATAGATAAGTAGACGGTGAAATTCTTGCAAACTTAAGAGCCAAAAACAAATTCTGAAAAAAAGAGGAGTTGGAACCTCCACGGAGCTCTTCTCTGATTGGTTGGATTCCAATGAGTGTTTTCGATCCAATGAATCTCTCCCGACTGGGGCAATCATGCTCGACCAATCAATAAAAAAGATTCACTTATCGCCGAAGGACCAAAATGCATTTTTCTATGACTAATGGCTTGTAACAAATTTTTTTCTGAATCCTCATTTTCTGCTGAGTAATTCAGTAGCCTAGACTAAAAAGGTTATAACTAAATTTCTTCCATTTTGAGATGACACAAGAAAACTGCCAAGCAGCCTCATTCCTTCCAATGAAGTTTGTAATTATTTAACTTTTGCTTATTGAGTATGGCATTACATAGTGCTCCGCAATTTTCACACATACATTTAGAGCCTCAGCATTTAGAGAAAGTGAATGACTTGAGCTATCCGAAAATTTCGGTTGCAACTCTTTTGCTCTGAACTGCTGAATTGTGATGTGAAAAACGACAAACCATCATCGGATGATAAACAGAATTTGAGTAAGAATTCAGGCACAGTGACTATTATGCTTTAAAAAATTATTTTCCGTTGACAAGATGAGACCTAAGTAAGTATATTGATGCCACTTTTATGAATGTAGATACAGACCTCTAAATCAGCTTTTGATTATAATCTGAATAATTAATTTTGTGTTCAAACATTTGACTATTAGTTAATAAGGTGATTCGATGGACACCATGTTTTGTATCAGAGTAGCGTGCAATATATTAAATCCATTCATTCTATAATTTCAGCTACTTGTCATTTATTTCGAATTTTAATATTGTACTTCTGTTGTCATCAGTCTGAAGAATTTATGTACCAAATTTGACGAAGAAATTCAACAAGGCAGGGTTTTTTTTAGGGAAAAAATATCGCATTCAAGTGCAATTTTGATATCAGTAGGTATCGAATGCAATATTTTTCCTCCAAAAAAACTCTGCCTTCATTTCGTTGAATTTCTTTGTCAAATTTGGTACATTAATTCTTTAGACTCATGAAAACAGAAGTGCGATCTCAAAATTCCAAAGAAACGACAAGTACCTGAAATTACGAAACGAATCAATGCGATATATCGCACGCTGCTCTGACAAGAAAAATGGCGTTCGTTGAATCACCTTAAGATCCTATTGATACAATGAATGGTTTTAATGAAAATTACAGATAAGGCACTGCTTTTTTACTACATGAGCAACAGGCCTCAGCATAGGAGCAGTGCTTTCAGTGATTAGGTACTAGAAGTTGAGAAGTTAGACGGTTCTATAATTTACTAGTCACTGACAGCATCTACCAGTCCATATTTAACTAACCATTTACACCTTTTAAAATAGAAACGTTAAAACTAATGGTCCAGGCACTTGACTGCTGCCGCAGCTCTGCTGGGACGAGACTGCAGTTTCATGACTGATGTGCTTGTAAAACCAGCAAAATTGGCTCTAATCCCTTGGAATACTATGGAAAATATAATTCTTATGCTTCCACTCGTAGTCGGTAGCAGTTGCATGCTCTTAACGAAAAATTAAGTAGCGTAAAAATCGCTGGCCGGCTACAGCACAAGTTGTCGTATAGGTTAGGTTGTTTAAAAGATGCTTTTACTCACTGTCCATCCCCGGAAAAGGCAAAGGTAACGCTCCATGTTGTTCTTCTAAGGCCACTTCAATGTCAAAGACAATGTTCTCCACATTTGCTACGATAACTTCCATCCTCAAACGTAATTAAATTCCTAACATTAGAAAAATCTCGTATCAAAACATTTGAATTTGTTTGTTTGGAAAATAAGATTGACGCCACGCCCTGTAGAGAGCGCTACGATAGACAACCTTCTCCTTGGCGCGAAATCAAATTTTTTAATAGATACTTATTTATTTAATGTCTCAATAATCTCTCAAAAGTTGTGTAAATTGCGAGTGCAGTTGATTGTGATAAATTAGAAGTTTGAAGCTATCATACTTCTTAAATCATAACGCTAAATAATAGGTAAGAATAATCAATCAAATACACCCTCAGTTTCTTCCTCAACCAGCAGGGCCGGATGGGTGGGAGGGGATGGAATGGAACCTTCTCAACTCGATATACAAATGAGCAATGAGCCAATTTTGCAGCAAGTTTTTTCAGAAGACTGATAATTTTAATTTTTTAAAAAAAATTCAAGATAGGGGCGGACTAGAGTTTTTTTATTGGTCTGCTTATTGTCATGTCCTCTTGTTCTAAGGTCCTTGCGTAAATCAGGCCGTTTTGACAACTATAACTGAAATCTTTTGAGTTGCTGACAGCTTTGTAATCAGTTCAACTCAACAGTACCTAACAAACCCTCTTTAGAGACTGGGGAAGTCCAAGGATCCTCCTTGGTGAGATATCTTTTGGTGTACCCCAGACTCTGCTCGATGAGATGCTCCATAAAAAGTTCATAGTTTTGCCCATGAGGAGAAGATCCATCTTTTATACCGATAGTAAATACTTCATAGAATTTCTTATAGCACATATATTTTGCGATTCACTGCTTTTAGTAATGCTTGAAGTTGTTACCGAGTTCTCTACCGGATTCCCTGTCTGATGAGGTAGATAAATCGTCAATTATTCGTCCAATTGAGACAATTGATCAACGTTCTTGACCGACCAAATAATGTCCAGACAACTATCTTCATTTTTGCACTGAATTTCCTGGATATCATGTAAAGATGGCAATCTTCGGTTGTACTTAAAAAAGGCAGCTGATTTATTCATGAGCTCCTCTTAATTTTTTGTTGCTAATATTGTGTTAGTTTCAATTGGACCGCGTTAGACAGAAAGGAACCAAGCCACATCAGCTATTGCCAAATTTAATTGGGCGAATTAATTTTTTACATGAAAACGGTTGGGCGGATTTTGGTTCAAATTTCAGTGAATTTTCTCCATAATACGAAGCAAATTCCTTAAAATTTTCAAAGGAATCCGCACAAACGTTCTCTCGTAAAAAATTGACTTACCCAGTTTTTGGCAATAGCTGATGTGGCTTGGTTCCTTTCTGTTAAACGCGGTCCAATTAATTTAAGAAAGATATTTTTTGCCTTAAAAAATAGTAGGTAATGAAAAAAAAGAGAAAAAAGTAGAATTTTAGATTAAAAGAAAGATTTATTAGAAATACTTAGTAACTAAAAAAATAAACAAGGTAAAAACAATACAAATTCATAGACAATTCACTGATAATAGGTTGCTTCCTCTGTAAGAATAAAAAGGATGCCATAACAGTGCATTTTACATGAGAGAGAGGAACATTTTATTTAATGCTAAGAAAAGTTCTCACTTTTGAAAATAATTTGGAAAAAAAGATCCATCATTGAGGGGTAACATCTCATGTAATAGCACTAATCACTATGTATGATTGAAGCAGATGGTCTGCAGATATCTGAATAGACAGAGCTGAAATGGAAAATTTAGGAGAAGAAATTGATATTTCAATTGAGCTCTTCAAATTATCATGACTTTCTTGGTCTTGTGTCAAATCGCTTTTTACTAACAGAAAATATTACCTTGACAATTCTAACACTGAACCATCCTGTATTTTAAGCATGAAAAGAAAGTTAAACACTTAAACACCACTGTAAGTTCTTGAAGTGGAGATAAAAAAAGAGAGAAAAACTATGGACTTTGATTGTTCTATTAATGAGTTTTCATGGTGAGAAGGGTAACAAGAGTGTAACTGTAAACATGCTTGAGCTTTTAGAAAGCCTTGAGTCTACACTGAAAAAAGCAAACACAAATAATCAGGGCAATAAACTTTTTTGCGACAAATAGGTTTGGACTTGGTTGCCCGAGATGGTTTCAAAAAACGATTCAAATTTTTAGTACCTGTCAGTAATATTCTAGTGCCCTACTCAAATAAAGTAAAAATCAGGAGAACGAATATTGAAACGTTTTTGCAGAATAAAGTTTAAAAAAGAGTTCCTCAGCCCTACATTTGACTGAATTTTCTAAAAGTATTCAATGAAAACAAATGTTTGATGTAACCTCTGGTGTAGGCAGAACACGCACTAACCAGCCTGTTGTGCGGCTGATTTTTCTTGATTTTCAAATTCTTCAGCACATTCCAATCGGAAGAAATCTACAACAGTCATATTATGCTCTTGTAATAGTTCCTGAACTGTAACATCAGAGTTGATAAGGAATTGTTGGAAAATTAGATTTTTCTCACTATCCGCATCTTCTGCAGGCTTATCAGTTTCTGGGTTTCCGACTGCGGATGGATTCATCCCTGAAAATAAAATGAAGTATACTTCAGAATTAAAAAAAGGCTAAAGAGGATTTCATACTTTCAAACCTTGAGATTTCATATTTCTGGTGCTTAAAGGCTTCACAAAATGATTAAAAGTTAGTGATGAGCTACCAGACAGCGTTACAGAATTGAAATGAGTGAAATTTTGGTATTGCTGACCAAATAATTATTTGATCAAAGATATAATGAAATAGGAAATAAGAATTTATGACTTGCCGATAGAACTGTGGGTGAAATTTTCTTAAAAAAGTTCTCTCTTGAAAAAACGGAAATTCGGAGTAGAAATTATTGTGAACAATCTCAGTTAGTCTCCAAAATATTAATTATTAGTATCTGTACTTTTATTTTTACTGTGGATGTCTGTTTCTTACCACCGTTTCCCATGAAAATCCTAGTTATGTTGTTTCCAACTTATTGCGTTTAACTCTATCATTACCATGAGTGCGGCATCCTAGTCCAGCAAATTTTCATGCAGCATTTCGAATATTACATGATAACCTCCTCTCAGAAGTATTCACAATTGCAATTATCGGTCAAGGAGAATCTAAACTACAATTTAAGCTGATTCTCGACAGAGTGTGCTTTAATATTTTTGAATGGCAACCAATTTCTGATGTGGGGCAGGTTGTGCTTTGAATTTTAGCTTGGTTATGAGAGGTTAAAGAGATAAAACTTTCACAACTTCATCAAATATTGCCGAGGAAGTAGCACAACTTGTTCATTTATTTAGAAAGCAGAGGCATTATTTTGATAGAAAAAATACAAACCTATGATGTGCTGACACAGCTGTTTTCCAACTTTTTCTGTGATTTCAGTGTGTGGATTTGCCTTGTACACAAGCACAGCAGCAAATCTCCCTAGAAGTGGGAAGGAAGCCTTCTCCGATGGAGGATGTACATGGCCCGCCAATTTTAGGTCACCATCAACACTCAAACATAGTGCCCGAGAAAGGATTACATTTTCACCAACAGATCCAATGGCCAGAGCGGTGTGGTCTCCGAGGGATTTTCCATCAGAACATGGTGCGTTTTTCAGCTGTTCGTTCCCTAAAATAGTCTGAAAAGTTACAATATGATTAAATGCAGAAAAATAGAAAAATAAACATGTATATACATGAAATGTTGCTCTGATCACATGAAAAACTCATGAGTTGGGCTTAACATCCAAAAATGAAAAAGCAATCTTGAAAAATATTAGGCATCTGTCTACATAAAGGTGTATTCTAAATTTGAAGAAGTTTAGATGTAACAGATTAAGGATGTAAGTGATTCTTAAATTTTAAGGAATACACTTGAGTCCTCGAGTGTAACAAGACTCAAAGAGACAAAACAACTTTTAACTTTCTTGGTTCTGCTGCAATATTTTTATTGGATGCTATTATTAAATCTTTTGAAAAAATTGATCTTTGTTCAATATAATTTTGAAGATTGTCTCCTAGCTTTTTTGTCGCTTTTAGCGAGCTTTTTTATGTGTAGCATGCTAGGTCCTTTTGAATATCTTTGGGACAGCCAGTACTTTCCAAGAATAGGGACCCAAGTCTAGCGCGCTGAGACAAATTCAGCTTTTTTCCTTGAAATTATGTGAGCCAGATAGTCTGATTTCTATACCTCAAAATGTTGATGAGTATGTGGATGAAGGAGATCAAAGCCTTTTTCTTTTTAAAAAAACGAGAAAATGGTCATTTTAGGTTACATTGAATCGAGACAAGAGAAAACCGCTGATGTCCATTTTTCCAGTCTTCAGTTTTTTTGAGTTGATAATACTTTCAAAGAGTTGATACAAACATAAAAGTGATGAAAGGACTCATTTTGGGATTAATGTAACCTGGAGACGAGTATTAACGCCACTTCTGTGGTTGCATCCAACTCCGTAAAGTACTATCAACTCAAAAAAACTGAAGACTGGAAAAATGGACATTAGCTGTTTTCGCACGTCCCGATTCAATTAGTCTCAGGGTATACTTTTTGATGAAATGAAACGTAACTAAGCTTATTTTAGCACCTCAATCAGATATCATACGTGCAATATGCACAGACCCTGAACTATACTTACTTTGACAGAATATTGTGAAGTTGAAACCAATTTTTAGTGTATAACACTTGATAAAAGTAATTCATGAAAAAAAATTTCCCTGCTGAAGGTACACATACTAACCTTTGCAATGCTGTTTGAAAAGTTCTTCTGCTGCTTGGAAAGTTGCAAGCATGAGTTTGTGACTAGTTCCACAAAAGACTTAAATGTCCCATTTTTCGCTACAAAATCCGTTTCACAGTTGACTTCCACGACACTTGCATGATTGTTATCGACACTGACTCCAAGTAAACCTTGTGAAGCAGCTCTCCCTTGAAGTTTAGACGCTTTTGCCCAGCCAAGCGCTTGAGCCTGCTCTTGCAACCATTTCTCAGCCTGAATAAAATAACCAAGAAATTATGTGAAGAATAGAGAAAGCTTTGGAGGTGGGGTGTGGCCAACCAAAGTATTAGGTTAGTAATTCTTCTAAGTTGTACTTCAAGTTGCTCCTTCACAGCAGGAGCTAGGCTCAGGATGGAGATAGGAAATTTCTGTACTTACTTATGTTTTTTTCAGAATAAATACATCTAATCTAATCTTGTGCATTACGTTCATAGAAACTTGAGATTGAGTGTCATACTGTAGCTGAATGAATCAATGGACGAAACGCAAATTAAAGTGTCAACTTCTGCTAATCTGAAACCGGACATTTTAATGATAAATTGCAAAAAGATTTTTCTTAGAGGATGCTGCCTGTTTATTTTGCATCTAGGTATGTTAAAACAACAAATTTATTAAGACACTAACATCCCAATTTTAATTTACAGTTCACATTGTTGGACTAGAAAAACTGACAATTTTTTATGATGTTAATTTAAGAGCTTCTGTGTTGTGCAAAGAGCAAGGAAGAGAACAGATGGCTTTGACTTTGGTCAACAGTTTAGATGAAGTCTTAAAACGTGCAGAGCAAGAGATTTTATTCATAGTTTAGAGAATGACCCACAACTACTATTAGTATCGAACAGAGTAGTAAGGGAGGACTTCTTTGGTAAAAAGGCACATGAGGCTTGCGATACTGCTAAGATTGTGCAATTTTTCATAGAGTCTGCAGCAAAAAAAAATTCATTCACATTCGACTTACCTCCACACAATAGTGATGCAAAATTTGGAGCAGATTCAAGGAAAAATTAATGACAGATATTTCAGATGGGTTACTTGTAATTAAAGAACTACATCATACAATCTCAGCAGCATTGGTAACCTAATACGCTTGTTTACAAAAGAAGTCGTCATCTAACCAAAATTGGAGAAACGTGTGGATACCAAGACACTCAAGTATGCATGAATTATGTTTAAGACCATCTAGGGCTAGGTTATTGAACTGATTTTATTCTAAACCAAAGCCGAACATTTCTGCTTTTGTCTTTAGAAATTATATTCAAAATATGGACTCTAAAACAGGAATGAGAATCAATTTCAATTACCTGAGCTAAGTCGTTGTTGTTAGTTTCGAGAGCCTTCTTACAGTTAGCAAAAGTGTACCCAGTCTTTTTTCTCAGTTCGGCAAGCGCTGACTTGGATGCTGATAAATTACAGTTGGTTGAGTGAAATAAACGTGCAAGTTGGGTTCCAAGCATACCTGCAAAGATAAAACATTTGATAAAATCTGTAATAAAACAGAAGACTGGATAGTGCACCAGAAACTGCAGAATCGACGTAAGCACTCAAAGAATGTAGGATATCTTGGTAAAATCTTAACTTCTTCTACCAATGTATGGTGCATATTAGAGTGCAACATGGTCTACTTGATGAGTCTTCAAACCTGCTTACCATTCTGTTCTAAATAACAGAGAGTGAATTTCAGATTGATCAATGGCAATTTTTCAATTCCATAGATCAGTAAAAAAATACTTAGTAAATGATCAATTTTGCATATCGACGGTGTAGGTCGGCAATCGCATAACTCCGTTTGCTACATCGCAGACTTCCTGTCATACTTCATTTTTTAAACGGAAAACCACTCAACAGCAATTCTTTAAAACTTCTGTGATTTTTCTTATTTATGCAAAAAAATTCTGCAAAAACTTCAAGAAATGATGTCAATTTATTCTCCTCTAAAAAAATAATATAGAGGCAGAGATTTTCAGACACTGCAAACGAGATATGTGATTGTCGACTTACGCTGTCAATATGTTCTACATTTAAAATTTCTTATGTTAGGCTAAGACAAATAATAAATGGTAGTTGCTTTTTTATTTAAACCGCAGTTTTAGAGACTAGAGCCCTGCAGAGGTTACAGGCTTTGCCGTGCAATTTAAGTGTAATTGCAATGCAATCAATGCCATGAGATATCAAGAGAGTACGGAATGAGACCCCTTTGGGGTTTCCGTCTTAATATTATGAATTGAAACATTTCAGTAACCAATGAAAAAATTTTCCCTTACAACTCATGATGCTCTTTTCCACAGACCGACCTTAGAAAACGTGGTTTCAATTTCATAGACAAGGAATTCGGTAGCATGACAACAACAAAAATTCAGGTCAGTGTCAATTTAGAAATTTTTTATTTATGATGGCCGGGAGAGGTTGAATGTGAGGTTTTCAAATTGAGCAGCTATTGACAGGTATTGCTGCCTTTGTCACAAGGAATAAATTGTTATAAATAAGTCCAGTCGATGGGTTTATTGGATTTTCGCCGGGCAATATTTTGCAAATAGAATACAGAGGAGTCAAATTCAGAGGAGGAAATTTATGATAACCTGCATGACAACATCCATCAAAAGTTACAGACTTTCAAATGTGAGGAACGAGCAATGTTGAGAGTTGTGTATTTTTTAAAATTTTAACAAGGCTGAGACACATGCAAGAAGTTCTTACAGGTTGTATTTCAAGGGCTGATACTCGAAGCGAACCCATCAAATTATTTTGAACAGCATGGCTGAGATGCGGAAGTTGCATTGTGCACAACTTTACGTACCATTTGTTAACCTTCGGCTACACTACACATACAATAAAGTAGATTCGATGTCCCAGAATATAAGATTCGAAAACAACGCCATTTGCACAGTCCGTTAATAAGATGGGCGGAAGTAGGCATTGTTATTTCTTGTGGCAGTTTCTGTATCTTGGTTTCATTCACGATGCAGGCATGAGACTTGTTTTTTTCATTGAAATACAAAGTTTAAGAGTGAAATTATTGCAAGAAATATCAGAGACTGTTGCTGATGAAATGCCAAGTGATGGTGATAAGATGATGGTACTTACTTACTGATTATTGTGTCGCAATTGAAGTTAAGATCCAAGATGGCTCTTTCAGATAAAATATCTTGCGTTAGTTGCAGAGAGAAAACGTAACGAAGCTCTGAAATAGTCAAATCAGGGAGAAAAAGATTTGGGTGCTGATTTTCCGATTTATTCTCTGTGCAACCTAACCTCAATTATTCCCCGCAATGTTTACGTTCGTTGTTGAGAGACGCAAACTCTTTGATGCAATTCGTGAAGCGCGAAAATTCAAAAATGATGTCCAAAGGGGGAGGGCGGAGATCTGCGTGAGGAATGAAATCAGGATTTTTTAGATAGAAGTTAATTCAGTCATTTCGAAAAATTGTTCAAGTAATTTCTTTCACCTTGATGAATTTGACCAAGGGGGGCATTTTGACCGATTTTTGCCAGGGGGGGGGCATCCCTTGGTTTGGGCTCCTTGGATGTCAGGTGGGTTAGCCCCCGTTGGGTTGGGTACCTTGGATGCCAAGGGGGGCGGTCCCTGAGGGTTGGGCTTCATAGATGTTAGGGGGGTGGGAGATGCCCCAAGGGTTGGATTCCTTGGATGTCAGGTGGGGCAGCCCCAGGGGGGTTCGGCTCTATGGAATGTTCATAATTTTGGATTTTTCAATTGAGCCGTAATTTCGAAAAATTCACGAAGAATAATCTTTTGATTATTAAATAATAATGTTTTTTTTTGTCTTTCGTAAGTCTTATTTTAAAAAAGAGAGCGCAAACGCTCGGTTCAGATTGTGGATTTTAAGTCTTCTTGCTCTGGTCATCTTATTCTTATGTAAAACTGAAAGAGTCGCAAGATCTTAACTTTCTCAAAAGCGGTTGTGAATTCAATAAGTTTCGCATGGATAAAATGAGCTTTTGTCGATGAACTGTGAATAATCAGCACTGAAGAAATGGCACTTTGTCCTCCGGTCCATTTGAAAGGCCTAGAGCGAGGATGGATGGAGCATGTATGTCCTCCGGGTTTTTAAACGGGCACTATGTAGGTATGACGTATACATATAGATGTCTGTAGGTTTCTAACGGTATATTATGTCAACGTCTTGGAGGAAAAATAGGAAAGAAAGTATTATACCTTTACAATTTTTTGAGAGTCCAAGCAGAGACGATATATTCTAGAGACTCCGCACTGTCTTCTTGCCTACCTAAGGTGTAAAAGTTACTGAAGGAAGCCAATTCTCTGATTCACTTATTGATGACTCACGGGTATTGGATCAACTATAGTTTCAAAACAAGTTTTAAGTATGAATAAACTCTATTTTTAATCTTAATGATCAAGAGCAGGTTCAAAAAACTAATAATTGCAGAAATGCGTATCTCGTATTCAAATGTTATTTTCTGATCCTTCAATGCTTGATCTGGCCATATAAGATCAAACTAAATTTTATCTGACGAGGAATTGTAAGTGTGAAACTCTTTTTTCAGTCTTTAAATGATTCAAATCCGCCAACAACAGGTTTAACACACTAATGGAGAATTTGCAAGGGTCTGAAATTTGATGAATTTCCTGTTTAAGTGGAATCCTCTGAGTGAACTGAACACGAAGATACCCTTGATTCATAAATTGAGAAACTATTAGAGGAGATATAACAAAATAACCGATTCTGCTAAAATACATGTGTTTAAATGGGAAATGCCGCCAGATGACGTCACAAGGCGGCACATTTTCTCACTTTTAAATCAATTTTTCTCCAATTTCCCATGTCAGAAAAAAATTCTGAAAAATATTGCGAACTCAGCTCATTAGGCACTTTCAGATGAAGCAATAAAAAAATTGCGTGCAAATTCTCCATTGTAAAATGCGTATCTTGTGATGAAGTGTCATTTCTTAGTACCAAAAACGTGAATCTCGGCATTTCTGCCGTAGGTACTTTCTAACAGTCCGAGAAATTATTCAAAATGTTGATGGAGTCTGAAAAAACATCTTATTCGTGCTATCCTCAAGAATTATTACCCTCCTACTAACAATACAGAGAATTGTCGAGGGCGCGGTGGAACCAATATAAAACGCCTTCAACTGCGTGTGATACTGTGCAACACACCAAAGTTGATATAGTCGTATCCTAGGTTGAAACCTAACTCAGCAATTTTGACGCCGAGCGGTGTGAAATTCTCAGTTTTCGTGAATTTCTTCTTCGAGGAACGAAGTAAAAGCGGGAGATGTATAACCGTGCGTAGAAATTAATTACTTGTCATGCGATCAACGCGTGCAGAGCGAATATCACTCAAAGTCAACAGATCAAGACTTCACTTTCCGTATAGGGCGCGGCTGAACCAATATAAAACGCCTTCAACTGCGTGTGATACTGTGCAACACACCAAAGTTGATATAGTTGTATTCTTAGGTTGAAACCTAACTCAGCAATTTCGACGCCAAGCGGTGTGAAATTCTCAGTTTTCGTGAATATCTACTTCGAGGAACGAAGTAAAAGAGGGAGATGTATAACCGTGCGTAGAAATTAATTACTTGTCATGCAATTAACGCGTGCAGAGCGAATATCACTCAAAGTCAACACATCAAGACTTCACATTCCGTAGGGCGCGGTGGAACCAATGTAAAACGCCTTCAACTGCGTGTGATACTGTGCAACACACCAAAGTTGATATAGTTGTATTCGTAGGTTGAAACCTTTTTCAAGTAAATTCCTCTACCACATCAGGTATGTCAAGGCTGCTAACTGTTAACAACAAAGAAGAATGTAGACAGTTTTTTTTACACTCTCCTTTAAAATCGTGTTTTCAGATAAACGCACCTCTGCACTTCCACTATCGACTTGAGACGCTATGTTGATAATAACCCCTGTTGATTGCAACTAAACCTACCTAAAGACTGTCCATGTTGCGTGTCCAAAAAATGAAGGAGCTTCGGATTTTTTGCATTTTTTCTGGCATGTTCTGATCAGTAAGCAAAATGCACTGGTGAGGTGTTGGGCGTTTTCTCCCTGCTTAGCAAAGGACGGCTAAAATCACGGTGTATCTGAACTCAAAAGTTTATTTTTTATGTCGGAAAGATGAATTTCATGGCCGGTCTAGCAAAAATGGAAGACAGAAGTTGCAAAATCAAAAATCCGTTTTTGACACGAAATTGATCTATTCTGAACTCCCGAAGTAAATTTTTATAGGAATCTTTGGTGCTACATTTCTCAGAATGAGTCACTAAACGGGGTATAAGAACTAAACGACCTCAACCCACGTTTCCTCATAAAAATTTCACGATGAACATTTTGAACCCATGAAAACCTTTTAAAATTCGCTCACAAGTGAAAGCTTAGACAATGGTTTTTCAAATGCACAGATTTTATAATGATGTATGAGTATACAAAAAACTCTTCTTGTTTTACTCGAATTAAGGAAATTTTTAATATTTTCACCGTCTTCTACGCGCAATTTTGATGGAGGAACGTGTGTTGTGGTCCTTAATTTGTCCTGTCTAGTAATCCATTGGGTTTATCTTTAAAAAAATCGTCCCTTTTATAGTGATGGAAAAATAGCAATAACTCAATCTTGAAGTAGTTACGATTAGAATTAATTTCCATTACTACTTGCAACAATCAGTTATGTAAATGGGAACTTGGGACACATTTAAACCTTATTAGAATTTTGAGTCAAATAAAGCAACTCAAATTTCCAATTCTGAATGACCTAATAACTAGATCCGGACCTTTATAATTTTGAAAAAATCTCAAATCATTATTTATCCATTTCCATGTTCATTGAAGTATGACACCGTTATTCCTTTCATATCCCATCGTCATAGCGTCAGTTTCTTTTCGAACCCACAGTCGTCAAAAAGTCCTTTTTCAGACGAGCCGCGAAGTTCCTGTATTCTTAAATGCATTTTACAGTTCATCCAGAAGGACATTCTCACTTTTAACGACTAAGCACAGGTTGTTTTACCTCACATTTCATGCAGGGCTGATATTGTGATTATGATGAGAACAGATCGACGATTGAATCTTTACTAAAGTTTACTAAGTTACAAAATATAATACACAAACTACGTAGGTATATACAGTTGTATTATCAAAAATATCGGTACACTCAATTAAAATTCCTAAAATTATTCACACACAAAGTCTCGGTAAAATCGATTTAAATAAATGTACATTTTGAAAATGAGGAGCTGAAACAGACTATACAAGTTCAAAACCACGGCATAGACCTACAATTATTTACAGACTAGCTTCTGGTAAAATCGATTTAAATAAATACACATGTCTTCCATAGAAGGGTAGCTAAAATGGACTACAAATTCGGATCCTAAATCTGGCATCCTCAAATTGCAAATGAGATATTATATTCTAAAAATGCTAAATTTTTTGATTATAATTACTTTGATTTTTCCCAAGGCTCAGATTGAGAAAGAGCAGGAAGAAATACGGATGCACATTATTCACATTTACACTATTTTGCTAAGGGAAGTTTCCAGACAAAAACAATTTTTTGCGGGATAGGATTAGGATTACTCATCGGCGGGGCAAAGTTAGGAACAATTCCACCTTCGTACTCATTAGAAGTATTTGAAACCATTCTCCCCTTTAGTGATTCCTTTCTAGAGAGTTAAAGGTCTGGAGATATTTTAATATCAGCATGCAAGATATTTTTGAGCAGTGTGTCAAGTACAGTCAGTGCAGTAGAGCTAAGTAGTCGTGTACCTACTTGCTGGGACTATAATATCTTTTGCATGTATAGACTTTTCCTTTTTTTGTGTCCTTTTGTTGTCCGTTTTAGAGCTTTCAATGCAAATTTTCTGCAAAATTCTTATCGAGGCAACGAAAATCCTCGTTGTCTTCAAGGAATGGAAATGTATTATGGCTGAAAGAATTAAAATATATTTTAACTCATTCAAAAGTACCGAAGTCTAAGTTTTTGAAAATTTGTCACTTCATCCTTTAATTAAAAATTCCCTTCAATTCCGTTTGTTGTAACACCTATTCCACTCGTACTGAAAAGGAATTCAGAGCTAAAAGTCCAACACTGGGATTCGACACTCTTATTCCATGCCTTGTCCACGCGAGCCCGGTTCAAGTACTTTCAGGCGAAATTGTTCGAAGAACATGCAATTCACCTGTAACTTGTTCCTGGAACCCACAATTCGCGGAACTAATTCCTCCAAACTGGGCTCGTGTGAAAAAGGCCTCTAAGAAACAACCCGGTATGAACATCCGGACCTCAACTTTTCTCCCCTAAATTAAAAATCTTAAAAATTCAAGTATTTTTTCTTTTTCAAAATTTTCACAAAATTTTGTTAGCATTTTCAAGTAGTACTTCTGAAAATATTCATGAAATACACCGCTAACTCTTTTTTTAAAAAAAAACAACAACAATATTTTATCCAGGTAAATTTGGCAACATTAAAATACTCATACGGCGTTTTCTCTCAAAATTTTAATTCAATCAGAGTGAAGACTTCTCCGCATTGCACAGTTTTCTCCGAGTGGTTCACCGAGATAACGCTATCTAGAAACTGAAATTATCAACCCAGGTGATAAACTTGACAACGCCATACGACGCGAAACACGTGAGCGGCGTGGCGAAAAGGAGCTTCCGGAAACCGGACACGAAGCCCTGGAAGAGACCCATGAACATAGATAGCGCCACCAGGGTTCGCGTCTCCAACTTATCCGCCGGGATCTCGAAACCGAGCAGGGACAGGTACGCGCTGACCAGCCGGAAGAGGTGTCGCCGCATGACCCTCTGGAAGAGCTTCTGGATCTGGTCCACAGTCCGCTTCTGGCGGCGATGAGGCCTGCCGGGCACAGAGGACCGGCGATGAGGCCTGCCGGGCCCAGGGGACCGGCGACTTCGGCGGAGCCCACGCTGCTGGCGACGAAAAAGACCGGTCTGTAGGCCGGACAAGTTGGCGTCTTGGGCGAGGAACCAGTTGGATCCGTTGAAGTCCGGGCCTGGATTGGTGGGCGCGTTGACGAACTGGCCGAAGGTGGGCGCCGGCTGCCAGTCCGGGTCGAGCAGGTCGTACGTCACTTCGGGCGGGTAGGTCGTCTCAGGCATGCCGGTCATGCCGGTCATGTCGGTCATGTCGCTGCGGTCGGTGTTGGGCCCGGCGTCGGCGGTCCGACCGGAGAAGGCCGTCACCAAGGGGAAGAACGTGAAGAGGCACCAGAACATGCGGAGCTCCGGCTGGTAGATGAGGTAGATGCTCCGCATCCGTTTGAAGGTTCGCCGAATGTTGGTCATGTCCATGTAGCTGCTCAGGCGCATGAAGCGGCGCGAGCTGAAGGAGCCGCTGTCGGTCCCGTTGAACCAGTTCGTCGTGTTCGTCGCGACCGTTCGGCTCGAGTCGATCGTTGCGTTCCCTGCGTCTGTTCCGTTGCCGGGGAGGGGGATCGTCTCGAAGCCGGGCCGGATGTCCGTCAGACATTTGGGCGCGCAGTTCGTGCACACGCTGCAACAGACGAACAAACAAACAAATGAGGAAGAGAGAAATATCCAAGGATTCATTTTGAAAGGAGTTCTAGCCAACAACTCCACACTGAAAAAAGAAACTCCGGCCTTGGAAACCGTACTTACGGCTTATTATATAGACATACCGTCCGGGTTCCGGGCTCAGAGGCTGCAAATTCCGGGTGTAGCAACCGGAGCAATCGAGGCTACGACTCCAGTAGGTACCCGGAACTTTCGGTCTATGAAATATTAATTTACAGATATTACATGATTATTGTGAAGTTCCTGTTGAATTAAATTTGAAAATAATCCTGAAGCTTCTTCTAAAACTTGTTGATAACGTGCTTAAAAAAAAGAAAAAGAAAAAAGAAAAAAAAATTGATGAGCTAAATCGGACTGCATTCTACAACGAGGAACAATTATTTCTGGTTCAACCATTAAATTACCTATGTTCATTGGTAAACAAATAGCACGTATGTTGTGTGGAAAATGTGCCCGTAAAGAATAGTTCCTTTTTGCAGAATATAGTTCTATTGCTCTAAAGTTTTAGAGCAGCTTTTTGGTGGTGAAATCCTCGATCCTCGTATCTTGATTGCGTCCTAATTCGACTATCTGCTTCTATTAATTTTTATGAAGGAGAACAAATCGTTATCTAAAACGCATCGAACGTATCGTTCTATCGCTCGTATCGTTCATATTCTAACATGAGATAGTCGGAGCGCCTTCCATCTTTTGTATGCCACACAGATACTTTTCAAGCACGAACAGTTGCATCATAGACGGATGAAGGGGTCACCATGAAGGTTGCGTCGTGTCCGGCGGTTGTGCGATGAAAATCGGGGGAGTGTTTGAAGCTTTTTATTCTCTGAGAGCACGCCAGTGTTCGGAAATGAATAGCTGCCAGATTGTGAGCCTTTTGCGCACTGGGAAATATATTTTACGGGAAAAGTACTGATATTTCATTGCAAACGGGAAACCGTGCGGAAATGGGCTCCACGTGGACTTTAATCACATTTTTCTCAAAGGAAGAATTCAAAAGCACTCGAAAATCAAAACATTATACCTCTGTCGTGAAAAAATGATCGTGCCTTTGCCCGTGCAGTGTTACCAATGCCTCAAATTTCAATTTGTTTTTGCAAGTTATCATCTCTTTTAACGGATCCGGTCATGATTTTTATGAAAATTGTGACTAAGTCGCCACAGGGAGTCCGGCAGTTAATGAGAGACGTGCATGAAACCGATAAATTTGATACAGCTAAAACGGAGGTATAATTGGAAATCCTTTGGGTGATGGACGCACCGAATGATATCGTGATGGGATTTGCGGACCATCTGACTCCGATAAAGATCAAAGTGGAATTCAAAAGGACTCCTCCGGTGCAAATTTCAGCCTTTTGACGATCGCCATTAACGTTGTAGTCAAATGCTCTTTTAAAAAAAACAACTTGATTTTAACTCATTTTGTTTTAAAATTGAGAGTGAGCAGCACTGCACAAGTGCACAGTAAGAGGAAAGGAACCTATATGTTGATTTAATACACAAAAAGAAAACGACTAGATTTCGAAAATATGGTCGTTGCTGCCTTCTCCGGCACCACGGAGGGATAGGCATTCAATCCAGAGCGTCCTCTGAAAAATCTTTCATTTAAACACCATCTCCGGTACTTCTCTCCTGGCTAATGAAAAACTGTTGAATTTTCTAATCATTTGTTGAACCTCCTCGATAATTTAAATGTGTACCTTCCTTCCTTCACCCTAAGTAGTCTCCTCCCCTTCCTTCTCATTTGAGGAAGGTTCTCATTGAGCGAGGGTGTCATAAAATTACTCCAGCAACACCGTCCCATGGCCCCAATATTATCTAACACCGTTGCCATGACATTGTTTTGCAATATTATGAGCAACGATTCTGACTCGCTTAAATGTTTTTTGAAACAAAAGTGTCAGATACAATAAAAAATCATACTGTCAGGCAATTCTTTCAAGATGTCGAAAAATATTGATGCTGAATAAAAAAAAAAATGCGTACCTTTCTTTATTCTATAATCCCCAATTATTCTTCACTTATTAAAAGGAAAATTCAAAATCGTATCGCCTTGATTTCTTATTAATTTTTTTACAAGTGAAGAATCCTCACAGAAAATGGTCAAAATTTGAAACAAAAATGTCAAGTATCAGCCAACAAGCACATATCAAGGTCATTCTATGACAACTGTGACAATTCTGAAAATATTGATGGCGAAAGTGAGAAATGCATATTTATCTCCATTTTTATGATCTCCAGTCATTTCCTTAATTTCTACCACCAGAACAATAACCAAAGTATCTCCTTGATTTTTCGTGAATTTTTTTAAAAAAGTAAAGAATCTTCATAAAAAATTCGAGTGAAACTGTTCGTTGGTCAGTATATTTTCTCAGAAAAGTGAGGCATTCGTAATGTTGCAAATCAAAGGTACACATTTTTCGACTTAATACCTTTTTTAGGGTACCAGCAATGGCTTAAAAAAATGATTTCGCTCAGTACAACGAATTTTGTGGAATAAGAAAAAAAGGGCGTTTATATTTAGTATTTTGGCACCGCAACAGTTCTCCATCCTGCAATGAGTGTAAGGATATTCTCGTTGAATCTGGCAAGTATGCAAGTACCGCTATGATATTCGACAAGGTATCAAGTCGAGATTAGATTTCATTTGCGAGAGGAAAGTAAAATCATTAACCCGAGTCACCCTTCGGGCTTTGAGCAATTCAAACGCTAAATCGTTTACATTGCGCAAACATTGTTACCGGAGAACATTGAGGAGCGAATTGCGCAAATGGAAAATTGAATAAAAACCCGAGCCAATGAGGCTCGAGGAAAACATAGGTAGCCGCTTATTTGTGTTGAATTTAGGAAAGAATACGTATCGTATTATTATTTTTTTTTTTTTCATTTGGAATTTTCGTTTGCAAGTTTGTGCGGGGTTGACGTGATGGAAGGGTACAAGATTTTATTTTTGCAAAGAGTTGAACTCAAGAGCAGGTTGACAAAATTTCATGAAAAATAAAATCTTGAAATTACACGTGGAATATTTCATAAAATTTCAGAAATTTATGAAAGATATTGAAATATACCGGTTCCTTTTTATATTTCGCAAAATGTACAAATTGTGACTTTCTTCGATTTTTGTATGTTCGAGTGTGGGTTGCATCCTCTAGCTCCTGAAAAATATGAAATATTTTACAGCCTCGTAAAATTTCATGAAATGTTTTACCTACTGAAAATTCCAATCCTTCATTTCTTCCTTACATTTCATGCCACCCTGCTCAAGAGTTGCTGGCTGGTTGCAGCTACAGTAGCAATTACGGCATACAAACAAATTTTTTCACCAACAAAATAATACGTGAAAAGACGTTCTGTGATCCGTTTAGTTTAAACGAGCTGATAATCATGTAACTATTTGGAGGTGTAAGAAGATTGTTGGCCTATTTGACAAAACAACAAACAACGCTCCATTCAGCACGATTCCATTTTTAGAGATTTTGAGCAGGTAGAAGAGTTTGTAGAGCCGATTCGAAATAATCCGGTTTTCCCCTCTTTTTTGTAGCTCAATTTTTATACGTAACAAAAGGACTTATATTGTAATCTTAATTCAGTATTATGATTTGTTGATATGATTCAATGATTTAATTAAGTAATTCATTAATAAAAGTACCAATATTTAGGCTTTTAGGATTAATTCTAAAACCCTCGAGCGTGGTCCCGCTAACATCCCTCTCCTTTCTTCCCTTAACAGAGGTAGTGGAGAGAAGGTGATAGAGATGTATGAATTTCGCAAGCAATTAGCAATTGTTTTAAGTTAGCAGGTGGCTTTCGTATTGTTTCAACAAATCGCAATGTTTCGCAACGGCATGGAAAAGGTTTGGTTGGAAATGACCTTAAAATCTTGATCTCGAATCGGAGTGCCTTCATTTTTCTCTGATACATTACGTTTTATCACGGAGTTGGTTTATTTGCCTATCCTACAGCTCCTAAGGCCACTGTTTTCACTACACGCTCACGCAAGACAAAACGTCGCTCCATGACGTAAGGGCCTATCTCGATTTCTACGTGACCCCTGTGCTCCGTATATAGCCAAGCTTTCTGGGGCTCAAAAGAAAATTGAGATACGTCCTTACGTCAGAGGAGCGACAAAAAGTCCGGGGAGTCCAGAGAGTGTTACCTTTTATCACACACTGGAAAAAACCACATTGGATCTGGAGTCCAGACTCTTGAAAACATTGACAAGAAAAAATTCTCTTGATTCAATCAGATTTTCGCTTAAATCATAAGGAAATCCGCTCAAATTAAGAGGCTTGGTTCTTGATTTAAGCTAAAATCCGATTGAATCAAGAGTATTTTTCTTGTCGATGTTTTCAAGAGTCTGGACTCTAGATCCAATGTGTTTTTTTTCCAGTGTACCTATAAGCCCTCTACGTTCAGTTTAAAGAAATTCAGAAACAGGCAGGGGCACAAAGGTTAAAATTTTAATATATAACGATCGAATTTTTTTTTTTTAAAAAAAAAAAAAAAAAAGGTAAACGTTTTATTACAGGGGTTACAAGTTTTTGATGTTGCTCTTTTCCTAAACCAAATCGTTAAAGAGTTATTTGATTTTACCCTTTTCCTAAACCAAACCGTTCGTTCAAGATACGCATATTTTCAAAGGTCATCCAAATATATGTACTGAAATCCCTTATGACACTTCACTCCTGAAATTGCATTTTCTCATGTCAATTTTTGCGAGAATCGACCAAAAAAAAACCGAAATTTACAAGAAGATCTGACAACCCGAGCTGGGAGAAATGGCAACTTGGTGCATCCGCATAATGCTTCTCGTAGCTCGCTTGCAGTTTCATCGACAACGTTGCGACCTGTGGCCAAATTATCGATATTGCATCTCATCGCGCGAGGGTAGAACTTGATCGCGGAGACAACAACGCTGTGATGGATGCGCAATCCTTAATTACCCCTCGGTGCCGGTCCGTGGGGTAGGAATGCCTTACGCAATGGGAGAAAGTTATTGTAGTGATGACCCTTTATCGATTTCCTTTCTCTTCATTCGCGCCGATATCCAGACAGTGAGTCTGTGGCACGTTCTTTCCTTTTGTTGCATCGGATTTTATAATTGAATTCAGATCCATCGCGATGACTTTCCGATGACGATCAGAACCCCCGAGAGCTTTCCTCGGATCGTCTATTTATGCGGCGAAAGCGCAGAAACGCGTATGTATCACGCTTTGCGACGCTGCAGACTCCCTCTCAGTGTGTTTAAGGTCATTCGATGGACGCTAAATTTTGTGTCATGCCGCAATCACACGCTGAATGTGGGAGCTGAATGTGGCTTGAATGTGGAAGTCATCAACCCGATTCCTGAATTTTGCGCGTGACGCGCAAAATTCAGCAACGATTCTCAGCAACCATCGGACTAATGTTGAATTTGTCTGACCTATTCGAGTAGATTTGATACACATCTGGATGAAAATAACTCGAATTTGCGAAATTTCAGCCGTTGAGCGATGACTGTTGACTTCCACATTCAGCTGCTAAATTCAGCGTGTGATTGCGGCATTCGAACGACATGCTATATATTGAATTGATTAGTTCCATTTTTTCAGCTACTAACCATTTTTCTTGAATTTTGAGATCGCAATTCTGTTGTCAGGAGACTGAAGAATTCACTTACCAATTTTGACGTAATTCAACGTAATAAAAGCGTGGTTTTTTTAGAGGAAAAATATAGCATTCGATACTGATATTGAAACTGCACACGAATACGATATTTTCTCTCTAAAAAAACCACGCCTACATTACTTTGAATTTCTTAGTCAAAATTGGTAAGTGAATACTTCAGTCTCCTGGCAACAGAATTGCGATCTCAAAATTCAAGAAAAATGGTAATTACTTAGCTGAAAAAAATGAAACCAATCGATCCGATATATCGCATGTCGCATCTCGCATTCGTAATTTTGGCGCTTACGCGATCTGGAAAATAATCGGTTCAATTATAAGTGCCATAGGAATTTACTTACTATTTCTAATCCAACCCGTTTTCCAATCTCGAAAGCTTTTGCACGAGGTCCTATTTAAAGTCACAAGACGTTGAACACGTTGAGGTGGGTTACTTACTTGAGCTGAACTGCTTCTTTATCGCCAAGAACTTCGCCGATTAGAAAACTTGCGATGACTATTGCTGCGTAGCAATATCCTGAAACAAATTAAATGGCGTGTGAATTTAATCGTTTTTGAGGCAACCTACAGCACGATCGAATTGGTTACCCTCAGGGGCGAAACATTCAGTTGCTTACGTATTGTTAGAGCAGATGTGCAAAATAAAGTTGGGTTCTGAAAGGAATCATCATGAAGGAGCCAAACTTCTAATGTTCAATACCTACTGTATGTTTGACAAAACTGAATGTTTGATTACACTTTTCGGACGTGCTATTACACGAACCGAATGTTTGGTCGAGCAAACGGCATAGTTCGATTGAAGATGAACACCCAAGGCTCAATTTGCACACAAGAAAATACACTATTTTTCATTCAGTTCACCCGATTCTTGCGCAAATTTTTGCGAACCGTCAGCTTATCACCAGTGGCGAGGCGTGAAGATCGAGTATCGATATTTCCCCATTTGAAGCTGTCGTAAAGAATCGATCATTAAGGTGTTTGTTACGAACACCCTGTTTATCGATCCTTTTCCATGGGTTTAAATGACAGATCAATCGATATATCGTAAAGCTCGCCACGCCACACAGTGGATCGAGTCGATGGGAGAGGTCGGACAAAATTTGGAAACTTTAAAAGCTTATAACTCTGTTTATACAAAACTTTGAGATTTTAAAAGTAGTTTTATCGGTTTCCTCGTGAAGTTTTTGCCTATAACCATCCCTTAAAATTTATCAAAAGACGGAATTATCATCAAAATTAGCAGTTTTAGTGCGAATAATTTCATGTCGAACCCTTCTGATTGATTCGGTCCTGTGTGCCACTACTTTTCACTATTATGTGACTTTTCATTAATCGTAAGAATCGGTTACCTCCTGCGAGACAGTGGCGAGGCGTGAATGATCGATTATCGATATTTCCCCATTTGAAGCTATGGTAAAGAATCGATTATTAAGGTGTTCGTTGCGAACACCCTGTATATCGATCCTTTTCCATAGGTTCAACTGGAAGATTGATCGATATATCGCAAAGCACGCCACGCCACTGCTGCGAGACTGAATCCAGATCATCGATGAACCGCACGTCCCTGACAGGGTCCCCATAAAGTATTATCGGTTGTCGGGGGGTGGGAGGGGTGAGGAGGGGTGGGAAGGGGGTGCGGTTTGGGGTGAAATGTAAGACGAGACGGATCAAATTTGATTACAATGGTCGTTTCATAGAGACTGAGGGCTGCGAGCGGACGGATCGAAATCAGATCAGTCGTCTGAGAAATGGCGGAAGTTGGGAATCTCGAGGCAAACTTTCCGTGGCTCCCGATCTAATCCCGTTTCGCGGGGAGCTTTCTGGAGCCGCTCGGTTCTCGATCCGGGCGAGCGCGAAAAATTGGTGAGCCGCGGAAATCCCGCGGGTGTCGCAATCCACGGCTCATGAGTTCGTGGCGATTATGCGCGTGCGAAACCAAGTTGCCATGTTGCCGCGTGCACGCGGGGCTATGAGCGAATTTTATCCAAAGTTCCGAAGCTCCACGGGAAGCTCTGCCCGGTTCTGTCTCATCAATCATCAACACCAATGGGCACTTTTGCCAACAGACTCGACTTATCAAACCCGTTGATGTTCGATAGATCGAAATTTAATGTATTTTTCTTCTGACCTCATTTAAAAATCAGACAAATTTGTACCAGAAATTATGCAGGTTTAATCTCGTAAAAAATTCAGTTTTTTGCATCAATTTTGCAACATCAGAATGTAGTTACGTTCCTTCGCGCGGGAAACAACAAATTCAGTGAAAAAGATTGTGAAAATCTTCCAAATAAATCGTGTAATAAGCCCTGGAGTCCATAAATATAAGACCGGATAATCTGTGGTAAAAGCACCCGAGCCTACTGTGCGTAGAGAGATTCGCTAATTCGGTCATATGCAGACGAATATGGAACGTCATTTTCTAGAGCAGGCAATGGTTAGCGTATTGGTGCGAAGTAGGGACGGTCGTGTTAGTTGAATTTTTGATTTGAACTGTGTCGAGAAGTCTACTCGAAATATTTACAGCTGGTTTGCACCAGGACGTATACAGTAATCATAGATCGGTCGCTCAACCAGTGTGATCGTGAAAAAAACTGCGTATAAGAGTTTAAAAATGTAGCATAATATGGAAGAAGTTACCGGAAATAGATCAAACCATAGAGAAACAGTTGATGCGAATAACCGAGGATTCTTGATTGAATTTATTCTTGATCGAGGATTCAATTTATTGATTTTTTACCGAGTGTTTGCGGGAAATATCCGTCAAATTGCCGGAGAACGTTAAAATTATCGGCAATGCTATGCAGGTCGATCTAGACTAAGAGGAGTAGAAACTGAAGTCCTCCAGAGTTAAACGGCCAGACTGCAAGAGCGTGTTCTATGGGTCAGAATAAGACTTTTTTTGTGTATAAAGTTTTTTCCCCTAAAAGTGTAGTCTTAATCTTTGTTTGAACGATTCGAATAAGATTAAGGAGCGCAAAAAAATCAAAGAAAATCAGATGTCGTACTTGTCTGAATATTCCGCTCAGGGTGGATGAAATTGACTATTTTCTAGACTACGTCAGTTAAAAAAGGTACCAATCTACAGAATGGTAGGTAATGGTAATGGACATGATCTCCATATGTGGCGCCGCGCCAGAGGTTTTGCAACCAATCTTTACATGAACCTCTTAATGAGCGGTGATTGTCTCGGAAGATTAATTGTTAAATAAACGGTAGTAATCACCTGTTTAAGCATCGGAAATGCATTCATGATAGTATTACCTTGTATCCGCATCAGTAATGCGAACGTAAAGGCTCTTAGGGACCACGTTGCGTATGACCACCCGATGGACATTTCCATCTCATGTGGAGGCGGAGGTGAGACTATTTATGTAAAAATGAAGGATCGAATTCGCTTGAACACAGCTGAGAATAGGAAACTGTGCCAGAGTGAAAGTGTATTGGAGGCAGCTCATATATTCTTTGAAAAATCATCTTTTGAGTATAGGAAAAGCTATTAACTTCCGCGTCTCCTGTTAACTGCCTCAAGTTTGATTGCGTTTGGCATCGTAAACTTTCAAAATTCTTTAAGATCTAGCAATGTTTACCCCTCGCGGAAAGAGGGACTTCGTTGAAATTTGTATAAGGGAGACATTTCTTGTCATATTACATCAACATGACCAAGCTGGCGTTTGACAGAATAAACCGCGAAGTGAGATTTGTGCACTACGCAAAACGTAAACCTTGGGATAGATGACTATTGCTGCCCGGAGATCGCCTACTTCGAAAATTGAAGGCGAAATATGTGCGAGACTCTGTAGCCGCCGCGCCATGTCTTCTTCGCGCCGATTCCGATTCCCTAAATGTTTCAGCCAAATAGCACCGCTGCGCTGATACTAATTGAAATAAGTCCCTTTTTTATGAATGGTTCCTTCCTTGCACCCGAATATCCGAAGATACTTAATTCAGTAGGTACTTGTATGCTTGAAAGCAAACAGTTTACTGACATTACCGACATGCCCATGCGCTTCCTATACTGCCGTGGTAAGGACTAACGCCGTATGAACCTTCTAGCGTTGCCAAATTTCCTTTGATAAAACACGAATTTCCTGGTACATTTATGAATATTTTTCTTTCGACTTTTCAGATAATTTTGTACACAATTTCACTTAAAGTTCCTGAAAATGTCAAAGAAAAATAATCATAAATTTCCTCAAAAATAAACGTTTTATTGAAGGAAATTTGGCAACTCTCGAATATTCATACGGCGTTCTTCCTTAGCACGGCAGTATGATCCGAGTCTGTCAGACTTGAGTTAACTTCTGCTGAAAGCAACAAAGTGTACTCCTTGATATCAGTCGACCGTAAAAGCAGTCGGGAAGTCACCGCTCACTCCCGGTGATCCTTTCCCCGGGGTGTAAATTGCACTCCGAGTCGAAGCTCGAATACCTGTTGAAGTCTAAGCAATCAAATTAGAGGGAATAACAGAGTTTGGATGGGAGCTATAATCTCCTTCGATGGGAGTCATCCTCATTGCGAGATGTTTCTAATGTTCCGATAATGACGTCAATGGCATCTCAGCGAAGGAGCTCGCGGGGAAAATTCCGCGCAGCAGATCTCTGATATGCAACTTCCGGAGAGCACCGAACTTTCGGTAATTTAAAATCGAGGCATCCCCTGCATCGGGCGCCGCGCCGCGACAGAGTCTGCTCAGGATAAAGACACGTCTGGCGCTTTCGAAGAATCACTAGCATACCTTCATTTGGACGTATTTCTACCAAACGGAACTATGTGCATTAAGACATGAGCCCTGAGACCCATAAGAATAGATGCATAACAGGGCTCAAGTCATAATACACATAGTTTCGTTTGATAGAAATACGTCCATTTGTCTAATGATAAGTTGGATTACGTAGTTCGTGGCTAAACGAGACACAGTGGACCGAGTCAATAGGAGAGGTCGGACAAAATTTAGAAACTTTAAACGCTTATATAACTCCGTTTATGGGTGGTTTCACGATAACTGGAATAGTTTTGTCGCCGTAACAGATAACACATTTTTCGGCCATATTTTTAGTATGGTTTCAAGATAGCTTCGATGGTCAATCTATCAATCGATAATTTTTTAATTTTAGGGTATCTTTCCATAAAATTTACGGTTGTCAGATCCTCACTGCGCAACGTAGGTCAGCTATTTGTACACAAAATTTGACCGAGGAGAGCTTCGAAATAAGTATATGTTCGGACATTCCGAGTGAACGCTGCAAGTCCGAGGACGATGAGATTTTCGATATCTACTCGGGACGTGCTTTCGGAGTTATTTCCAAGCATTTCCCGATAAAATTTTGTGTGTGAACAACTGAAGTACTAACTGGACCGCGGTCAGCATGAATAAACCAAGCCACGTCAGATATACCCAAATGTGACTGAGAAATTTAATTTTTTACAATAGAATGCTTGTGTGGATGCCCTCGAAAATGTTAAGGACTTTGCCTCGTGCTATGCGGAAAATTCACCGAAATTTGCACAAAAATCCGC